TCCAAGCCAAAGCCCCTAGAAAATGACATAGCACAACACATTGTATAGTTTCTATAATAAAACTAGTCTTTAATCTAGAAGTACAGTACGAGAATGTGAGTTTCCAAAATTATTACCCGACCACCAATGTGGAAGTGGAACCAAGTAATAAGCCTAACGGAACTCCAACAAGATAGTACGAACCAAGATTTACACACGCTCCAATTTTCTGCCATCCATATCCTCTGACAACCCTAAATCACAAACAAACCAGGATAAACCGAAAATATATGGTTGAGTGTGCAAGCAAGAACCTGAGAGAACGCATTGGAGGCCATCAAGGAAGTTTCCACATGCGACAATAGGTATCATCGATGCGGCATAAGAGATGATTTTTGGGTCACTGCTAAAAGCTCGGCCTAATACCTTACGAACCGACAACAAAACCGTTACCACCACACGATACCTTGGGCAACTGCTATGCCTACAATGACATATACAGCCAGTTTTGTTACTTGTGGATTCTCTGCTCCTAACTCGTTGGAGACTCGTATGCTACAAGTTAAAGAAGACACAAGTGTAACATAACCATAGTTTAGTATAGTAAGATTATGTTATGTGGTTACCAATGTACTTACCTCGCTGCACCACCAAGACCAACTGAGATTTGCCAGATTGTTAGTGAAGTATTTAGACTGAAAAGTTTGATAAATTATGCTGATCAAGTCTATGAACCCTGAGAAAACAAAGAACACAAGAATAATGAAACTTACCAGATTGCAAGAACTGAAGTTTCTACAACCGGGTTAGGAAGAAGCCCTAAGGCCAGAACAAGAAGCTCGAATGACCACAACTCCAAACTGTTACAAACATTGTGATTCAATCCACATACGGGTAAAACAGGTTCTGAACATAGCAAAGTGAGACATCGGTCTCAAGCTCCTATATTTTTTTCGAGTTAATATTATATGAACATCTGTCTTCAAATTGTTATATAACTTTTTTTACTAAAATTCTTACTAAATTTTTAAAGTCTCAAAAATTTAAGACCGACCACGGATACTAAACATTTTTTATATCACTTACCAAACCATAACTCAAACCTGAAAATTAAAAATTATTTGTAATACCGAAAACTTATTTGAAATACTCGAATTTAATAGTATAAGTATACACAAAATATCTCGGATACTTTGAATACCCGATCAAGTCTCGGATAGAAAATGTAATTTTTGGTAGAGGACATGAACATGGACTCGATAGAGACACGCGGATCCATAAAATACTCAATAGATACTTTGTCATGGTCTCAACCAAATCTGATCAAGTATTCCTAGGTCAGTTTTGGTTCAACTCTTTGGTCTGGATAAAACACTCGAACTTAGCTTAAGCGAGAATTACATAAGAGTGTAAGAAAATCAAATAAACTAATTCATAAATTATATATTTTCTAATAAAAATTGATATAATACGACTCTGTAACATATATTATACAACAATCACAAATATGGTTTCATATTAAAATTTATTTATAATCCAAAAATCAATACTTTCGAAACACGGATCAAAATCTAGTGAATATTATATCTCCACTCCATTTGGTTCCATACATTTCACAGAATGAGATTTGTTTTCTATGCAAATGGTAAAAGAAAATGGAATCTATACGAATACGTCATTTCACACAATTCCATCACAAAAACTTGTAATCCAGTTGCATAGCATACACAAAGGATAAGAATCATATTCGATCATCAGACCGGGGCTTCTCCTCTTGGCTTCCATTCTCTTTTGGTTTACTTAAGTTGGAGAGTGATTCATTTTTGGCCCAGTGGGATCATTGAATATAATTCGTATCCTTTGTGAAGCCGTCGTTGATATCTACGATCTTCAACTAACAATTTTTTTAAGTGCTGTCTTTGGTTTATTTTAGTTACTAACTAACCAAATAATGATAATCTAGTTCATAGGTGGTATCAGACCCATGACTGATGTGGGTACACATCAAATCCCAAAAAATTACCACTCAACTAAAGTTATATTTTGAATCATTGATTATCCTGGAAATTGATCAAAATATTTTCATGAACCATCTATTTGACACTAACAACCATAGTGAACAAAAATAAGCAAATGTGAATTACCATTTACATGTTTGAAAAACATAATTCCGTTGAGCAAGTCTTTTAACATAATTACATTGAGTTACCATATACTTGAATATCATGAGATCTATTTGACACTAATAGTTATCGAATAGTTGTTCGTGTTCCCGACCTTCAAGTGTCTTTCTGCTGTACCATTAGATGCCTCATGCCTATAATGGAAGTGTGTGAATAACAAAACTTAATCGCAGCGCTGACAACTTCAGCATAGGTATTTACTTCAGGCTACAATATTGCTCACTGGTCACTAGACTCACTACCTTATCGGACAACTAATAAAATTGTTGACGCGTTACTAGAACGAGCGGCACCGTGACACTAACTCACAAAAAATTACAAATTGTTGACAGTGGGATTTGAACCCACGCCCTTTCGGACAGGAACCTTAATCCTGCGCCTTAGACCAACTCGGCCATATCAACTTATTGTTCACGATAGAGTAACAATATATTTAGACAAAACATATAAAATTGACTTTGCTCATAGAATTGGAAGTACTTAGGGGACACTGATTGGAGCGTCCACGTGAGTGGCAGGAGGTAGACGGTTAAGAAAGAAACCAATCACAAACCACCTGGTGAGTCGTGATACCGTCCCACTGTAAAAAGAATGGTGACAAATGAATCAAATGATTGGTCTTTTCTAGGCATACCTTATCAAGTGTAGTATCAAAGCTCATGATAAGAGAAAGAGACATAGATGTTCTGGAACTGATTCTAATTTGGACTCGTCTTAGTTTAGAGGTTATGAGTATCTCCATGGGATATCCGGAGCAGTAGAAAAGCCTTACACTCGGAACAAAGAGTTTCTCAGCTTCAGTCAGTATATATATATATATATCAAGGCATCGAGGTAAAATTCAAATGAGAGCGATGAGATGATGGTAAAGAGACCATTTACTCCTACTAGAATCATCGTTTACGAATGATCCGACGAATCTTAAGCTAAACGTTTTGGAGAAAAACCCTTTTGAATATGCGTCTTCTTCACATACTAAAGTTCTGATTTTTAATCTACCCATTACTTTTGTTAAGCATGGTACTGTGAAAAGCCCCTCTCTTTTCTAGTTAATGATAGTGAACTATTATCCAATGACAGACAGTACTATTAGCCATTTTTTGGTGAAGAACATTGTGTCCCCTGACAAAGCTTTATTGTGTGTTTATTTTCTCAGTGTATAAAAGATTGTGCTTCAGTTCTGCAAAGAGAACTCCTTGAATCAGACGTTCCAGACATTTCAAAGCCAGTGTCAGGTTTCTGCTGAGATGTTCTGTGCTTTGTTTTGCTTTCTTAACTAGAATCTGTGAGGTTAGCATCGGGTTTAGATATGAAGTTGTTTGTAGATAAGGTTCTTAAGCATGTTCCGTGTTTGTGAGTTCAAAAAAAGTTTCTTTCCATTTTACTACCTCTTTTACATGTTTATGGATTTACACTTTTCTACCTGATTTGTCTTTTGATCTCCTAGTCCTTTGTTCATGTTATGCACATAGAGCGGTTGCTTCATGTAGTTATTTCCTTGTGTATTTATTTATTTTGGTGATGTTACTGTTTTTGCTTCTTAGGCTTGTGGAGGCTCAACTAAAGAGAGAAAACGTGCACAGATTGCTCAAGGTTGGCCATTCAATTCTTCTTTCTTTCTTTCTTAAGAGAAAGACTCTATCTTTCACTTGTTTCTATAGTAAGGTGTTTTTGCTTAAGGAACTGAGTGACTAAAGTGAGGCTCTAGAACTAAGTGATGTTATCTTAAGAGAAAACTTTTTTTGGATTAATCACCTGAAGTAACTAAGTGGTGTTCTACAATTTTCTCTCTACGCAGACTAAGAATGTTTATGACATGAGAAAACGTTTGTCCTGTTAAATGGTTAGGAATCTTTTATTTTCAAGGTTAGTAATTGTTTCTTTTATTTTCATGCTAAGTTCTCGCCAGATGGACAGTTTCATCTTGTTCTGTTGATGGTTTTATCGAGGTGAGGTGGTGTGTCATCTGTTTGTATATTTCTTAAAAGTCTTAACACTCATCTTATGACCAGGATTGCTTAGACTTCAAAAAAACATTACAGATATGGGATTACATTAATGGGAAGCTGAAGAAGGATTTGCAATATCAAGCCGAAGTAAACTCTTCTGATCACCTTTCACTTTTTATCCTAAGTTCTAGCCCTGAACAGGATCATATGAGCTGTTAGTACATTTACATCAGTTGAAAAAAATCCTTACTGCATCTGATTGTGGAATGAGAATTATATGGTTGATTACTTTTTCGCCCATTAACTTCCTGAACCACCGAGTATACGGTGGATTACTTTTACCTTTTTAGTATATTTGCCCATGAAACTCCTAAAGAATTAAAGGATCTCTTCTGATACTTCCTTGTACACAAAATGATTAAATAATAATTAAATTCTTACAGGAATGATGCATGATGATCCTGTTCTTTGTATAGACTTTAGCAGAGATTCAGAGATGCTTGAAATTCAGGATGCACATTTTGTCGAATCCCCAGCATCAATAAAGGCTTTACTTTCATCAAACTTGTCAACACATACAAAGGAGATACAAAATATGTTGATTTCAATATCGGACATGTGCGGTGATATCTCCCACGAAGAACTCTTGCAAAAAGAGAAGCGGATAACTGAATCAGACACCACAATTGTTTTGCGAGGAAGGCTAGATTAAACTCATGGAGAAAATGGAAAATTATGGTCTTCTTTTCTAATAACAAAGCTCAGTAGACACGTTTTCTGTCAACCATCTTTGCAAAGGTTGGGGCCAAAGATCTCATCATCAAGTTCAGACTTTCCCTTTAAAAAACCCCAAAAAGATTCAAACGCAGATATAACAAGAAGCTGAAACTTGAACAGACAAAGATAATCATTTTCTTAACTTGATGAATTATTCACAGGGTTAATTTACAAAAGACACATTCACTGCTTTCAAAGCAGAAGCGTCTGGCAAATTATTCAAAAGGAAAACAATTGTTTCTCATAACAAATCTAAGATCAGCAGTAGCAGTAGAGAATGTAACTGTGCTAGTCAGACTATTATCATGTTCCTCTGAACCTGCAACATAACCAGTAAAAGAAATATCAAAGACAATACGTCAAAAATTGTCAAATAAAGGTCCAAGAGTAAAATATACAAAGATGGAGTGGTGTGAGACAAACTTACCATGTAACCTCCCAACAAAAAATGTCAAGAAACTAAGCTCCAAACCATGACTCATCAATTGCACCATACGAATCAAACCCAGAGAAAAAGGTGCTACTATAAATCTCCAAATCATTGAATGGAGATAAGATGTTACTGTCCAAGAGTTTATCTTCACTCTGAAACTGAGGCAAATCTCTTCCGGCGACGCTGTCTTCATTCCCAAGTAAACCATGGGGTTGAAGTACTCCTCCTGGGGTATCAAACCCGTCGTTGTGAAGAGGTGCTTGTGTGTTCATTTCTATCTGCGTATGGATAAGGTCTTCTTCCTGATTAAGCACAAACACAGCAGAGGGATTATACAAGCTATAACCTGACCCAAATTGCAACTCCTGACTAGGGTTTGGTTCGTATAGCATTGGCCTTTCGTCTACAGGTATCATAGCTTGTCCTTGGACAGGCGGAAGATAAGTATAGTTGTTATTAAACTCAGGCACCACCAACTCCAGACTGTTCTCTTCTAGTCCTAAGGAGATGTTTGGTTCTAAAACACCTTCCTCTTGGTGATGAGTAGTACTGTTGATGTTATATTCTACTAAAAGGGCATCAACATGATTCATGTCAGGTAAAATGTTTCTCTGTTCAGCTTCTAGCTGTTCTTCCTCTTGTTGATTGACAGTTCTTCTAGCTCTTTTCCTTCTCCTGTGTTTCTCTGCTTTATCTTGATCACTTACCGGTTGTGAAGTGGCTGTTGGTTGCTCTTTTTGAATATGATTTCTTCTATTGTCTTTAGAAGAAACTGAACCTGAAGCCTCCTCAGTCCCACCAACATCATAGTCACTGTCGCTGTTAACCACAGTTTTCCTCCTCTCAGCGTTATTACCTCTTCTGTGTGTCTCAGTTACATTAGAAGCTCCATTCTCATCACTGCTAAGAGACTCCTCTTGGTTCAAAACCGCCAACCAAATCGCGCTCTCTTTAGCAGTCATCTTGTCCTGTAAACACTTAGACTGACGAACATGCCTCTTGATCTTCGCAACATCAGGCAACATATGATTGATCACAGCCGTTAAAACCCCAACTTTCCACATCTTCTTGAGATCATGCGGCTTCTTGTAAGGAGGACTCTGGCTTTTAGGCAGTCCAAGCTTCACCCACCACTCTTCATTCCCACTTGGCCACCAAGGTGGAGGAGTCCCTTTCTCCAACGGATACTTCCTCTGAGGAGGATCACAATGTTGCATCAAAGAAGACAACAAAGACCCTAAAGTAGCATCTTGCAAATCTTGCAGAACATACTGAGAGTTTCCATTCCCATCTCCTTTCCCAAAAGCTAAACACTCCTCTTCATACTTAGCAATCGCTGCAGGACCATTCTTATCAAACTTCACCTTCTCTTTCCACCAAGCTCTTATATTGTCAGAGGAACCACTCACAGGCTTCCCCTTCTCAGGTATAATACCGTAAACGAAGCCTCGGACTTTGCAGACTTCCATGAGCTTCAACATGTACTTAAGTATACCGTCTTGAGCTCTAGACATCTTCTTCCTCTGCGCTTGCTCAGAGACTTTCTTAGGCTTCTCCTTCGTTTGAGAACCGATTTTAGTTTGTTCTTTGATTCTTTTAAGCCTGACACGATCCTTCCACATCCTTCTCTCAAGGTCTTCAGCATCAATCTCTTCATCACTCACGTCAATCTCCGCTACATTATCGATAGCTAACTCATCAGGCTCATTCTCCATCCTAACAAATCAATAAAGAAACAACTTTTAACATTAAGGAAACATAAACAAAGATCATAGCGTCCACTTTTGCTAAAAAAACGATCAGGGCAGCTTATATTTAACCAACAATCATCTTTGCGTATTGAAAGTTCAAAACTTTTTAACCCTAAATCTCATAACTTCGCGGCATAACGCAAATCAATGAAACGGAATCCAATGTTAACACCCTTACCTGATGTCTGCTACGGACAGAGGGAGATCGCCCCCGCCCATATACGCGAGTCTGTTCGAGAAAGATGGAACCTTTTGAAATCTAAACCGTTGAAATTGCAGGTGCCGTGAAGAAAATTAGGGTTCTTTTTTCTTTTCCTGGTGGATGAGTAAAAACAGAATGTCTGCGAATAGGGATGGAACTAAAGAAAGGGGGCAACAAATCCTAATTTATTTTGTGGCAAAAACCCAAAGGCCATATTTGTTTTTTTTGTCTTTTTTTTTTTAATTTCGTAACCTATGTTGTTTTCTCCTCTGTTCTGTTCCTTTTTTTTTGTTTTGCTGTTATAGTATTTTCCCTCGTGGCAAGAAAACAGAACAAAGAAGTTGACTTTCTTTCTATGACAAACTTTGACTTTACCGACTGAAAACCTTAAGATGATTGATCTCATCCGCTTCTTCGTTTTTTTTTTTAAAATTTCGTAACCTATGTTGTTTTCCTCTGTTCTGTTGCCTTACTTTTTGCTGTTATAGTAACAAGTGGCAACAAAACAGAACAAAGTTGACTTTCTTTCTAAGACAAGAGTAGAAACCTGACGCAGCAACCATATCATTTCTATCGTTCATGTTGTAGAAAGTCTCTTCTCCTTCTCTATGAGTTTTGATTTAGTTTCCCACAGCTCTCAATACCTCTTTCGACCTCGCAACTCGCTAGTAAATCCTAAGTAAGAGTAAGTGTGACATAGATTACACAAGTGACAAAATATGTGTTTCATTAGTACAGTTACATCGTATTGACCACATTATTTGTGTGATTGACTCTAGATGTTACTTGCACGTAACAGGTTCATCATTTTCATGTCATTTAACAATGTTAGATCTACCCAACACTTTTGTAGTAGTTGCCGACCTAATAATCACCAACAAAAAAGATCGATCTGATCTAATCTAACCCACAAGCAATGTGGGGTTCACAATGTCTCTGTGACTTCTTCCATAGGTAAAGTAATAACAAATTGGTGGTGTTTCTTACAAATGTTTCATCAACCAGTTTTGTTTTCAGAAACAAAATAGCAAATCTCCAGAGAAGAATCTAACATAAGATAATATGATATAGGATCAATCCCGAAATCAAGAATCACATCATCATTTATACCTAAGACTTTTTTAAACATATGGCACCGTTTTACAGACAGGACAAGAGTTCTTCCTCTGCAGCCATTGTTTCACACAGTGGATATGGTATCTGTGCCCACATCGTAACTTCCCCACCTCGTCCTTACCATCATACTCTTCCTGTCGGCACGAAAAACACATGAACGAGGGTTGTTACAAAAGAACTGAATATCTGAGTAATGAAACCACATCTGAGGACTTACTTGACAGATGCTGCACTTTCTATCTTCTAGTTGTGTAACTCTCTGGAACGGTTTGACTTTATAGAGACATGTTTTGATCTGTTTCTCATCAAGTCCAGTGTCTACATACCCAATTCTATCACCAAGCTCCAAAAGTTGCTGTTTTTTTCACAAAACAGAAGAAACACAAAAGTTCAACAAAAAAAACACAGAGTTAAGAGCATCTCCAATGTAAAACTTCATTTTTTCCTCCAAAATGGAGTAAAAGAGAAAATGAAGTAAAAATGCTCCAACCCCACTCCATTTTCCACTCCATAATGGAGTGATGAACAAACAAAAAATAGAGTACTCCATTTATGGAGTAAACTCTATTATGGAGTAGAATATGGAGTAGGGTTGGAGTGTTTTCTACTCCATATTCTCTTTTACTCCATTTTAGAGTAAAAAATGGAGTTGGGTTGGAGATGCCCTAAGATACTTCTTACAAGAAATAAACATTACCTCGTAAGACATGCCATCGACATTGAGTCTCAAGTCACGGAAGTGATCGTGAGAGCTTAACATCCCTCCCATTACAAAACCATTCTGTAACATCATCATCTACAAACGAAACATCTTAGATGAAAACAAAGCTCAATGATCCCTAAGACCTGGAAGTTAGTAAACAACACACTCTTACCTCGTCGAGTCCATTAGGGTAAGGTTGTCGTAGATGACGATGATATCTATCAGACAAAAGCGTCTGCGTCTGTTCAGAGTCAAAGTAAGGATTAGTTTCTTGATTATGAGATCGCCTAGGAGGAACAGAAGAGCCCTGGCAAAGAATGTAACAGTTGAGTTTATTAAGACAAGACTTGTGTAATAAAAAAAGACAAAAAAGCTTTGTAATAACCGAAACCTCTCCATCGATTTTGCGTCTCGCCTGAATATTCCTTCTCGGAGGCTCCGCTTCGACGGTGTCACTGACAACCGCATCGGTGGAAAACCCGATTCCGGGTCCGCACCAAACATCAGGAACCGGACCGCAACCGCTTTTGTCTGCCTCAGACAAGATCTTAACCGAGCCGTCACTGTAGCAACTACCCTTGTTCTTCTTCTTGCTCTTCGTCTTCTTCTTGGCTTTAACGTCACTCGCGTCCCAGTTAGCGGAGGAGCGGATCACGGCGGGGACGGAAACTTGCTGAGAGGCGGAGGAGGTGCAGCCGAGGCTGCGAAACGGCGACGTTGTGTGGGGAAAAGGGTTTGGTTTCTTTCTTCTGGTGGGTTCGTTGGATGATGAAGGTAAGAGGAAGAAGGAGGACATGGCGGATTTAGAGATGCGGCTAGGTTTGGGGATTAGAGGCTCATCGGTGGTTACAAGTGGTGGGAGATTCATTGGTCGGAGTCCGATGTGGTGGCCGATTGTTGTCGAAGAAGACGAGGGATCTCCAGAGACAGGCATTGTCTTCTCTCTGGAGAGAAAGAAAGAAAGAGATAATGGAGAGGTGGGGAAAGAGAGAGAGAGAGAGACGCACACAGCGCGGGGAAGAAGGGAGTGTGTTTAGTGATACTAATTAACGTATTATTTAATTAATCAAATTCACTTTTCTTTTATTTTATTTTATGTTTGAAAGAAGTCTACAACAAGTAAGTAACCGAATAAGATCCTTTTTCACATGCAAAATTACTGTATTGGCGTGTTTGGAAGAGTTTACCACTGTTGATTTTTGATATTTTGAGGTAGATGAGGGTGAATTAAGTATTTTTACTCAATAGATTCCCACTAGTTTTTTAAAAAAATTGTTTTTTTGTAACTTCTAATCAAAGCATTAATATTTGACTTGATTTAAATAACTTTTTTTCATTATGTCACTTTTGTCACGAAGATAAAGGAGGAAGATTTATTGTCTTTGCTTGTATATATAGAAAAGGTCTCTCATGTCACTTTTACTTTTCTTCTTTGTCAGAAGTATTTCAAATTTTTTTAATTTATTCGATGTCAGAAAGACAAAAAAAAACATTTACGGAGGTCACAGGTTTACGCACAACTAGCAAATTTTGTTTACGCTGTCCACTTAATTACTATAAAGAATCTGTATATATTTCTATATATAGAACCTGCCACTTGCGTTAACACAATTACTCAAACAATATTGGTCCGGATTTGCTGGAATATTTAGTAGTTGTAAACAATTACTGTAATTAACATTTGAGAGAGAATAAGAATGATAAATCGTGGAAGACTGTTAGGTGGTGAGTCCAAAATCAGATTCCATAAGTCACAAGTCTGAGATAGTCTACATCTTAACCTTATTCTCATCGGAGCATGGCCCAAAAACTCCACGACAAATTATATGAAGTTGCCAAACTATATTTATGTCGACTAGTTACTTATTCGTGATTCACAAGAACAATCTTACACGGAATAAAATACTAGAATCATTTTCTATCCATCTACAAATTTCTATCTATGGCCTACCAGTTTAAGCAGTTGTCTGTATCTAAAAATTTATGAGAAAGTAAGCATATTTCTAATTACATCTTTTGGTTGAAAACTGATACATTAGTCAAAAGAAAACTATATTAAATTTTAACTAATTTACGATGATAAGCATCCAATTTCAGTGATAACTAAGTGTTTTGCCCGCATTTGCGGGCCTAAACATTTTATAATTATTTTATTAATACATCTTTTACTAACTGGAATATTATAATGATAAAATATTAATTGTGTTTTATTTTTTGAAATCAATAATATTTATACTTTCATTTAACAATTTTTACATATATTTCTTTGCAATTTATGTTCATTCTTAAAAATAATTTTTAAATCAAATAATATTTTTCAGTTATATAAAATTAAGAAGTTGACTTGATTTATATTTAGTCATGTATTTTCTATTGTTTTAATTGTTAACTTTTTATCAAAATATATATTTTCAGATAACATCACAATATATCTCGGAATTATCTAATTTAAAAAGATATTATTTAGATTTTGGATAATTCTTATGATTATTATTAATTTTAGTTATTTATATAATTAAAATAATTTAAATTCATTTTTATTTTCTATGTAATTTATATATTATTTTCATTAAGGGTGTAAACGATATTAACCACTCTAACTTTTAACATGTGGGAGCTCCGTTGCGAAAAATCACTTCGCAAATAATAGTATAGATATCGCACAACTGGTGATTATTTTCACTAGGTCCTGATCAATCAACTTACTAGACGAAAGTGCTTCGACAGTATTAATTTAAACCAGGCCCAATGGGCTTTTAAATATAATCAATCGTAATCAATCGTAATCTATTTTCTGGCCCATTTCCGTATACTCCTTTCTTCGAATCGTTTCTCTCTCAAGCTCTGAGATCTCAAATTCGACGCCGTTCATTGTCTCCGTCGCATAATCGGTTTGTTCATGTCTCTCTTCGTTTGCTTCCTTTGAATATTTAAGGATCTAATTTAACTCTGTAGTCGGTAATCTCCGATACGGAGATCTGTTCGGTTAAATTGGTAAAGTAGAAATATTTTCCGTAGAATTTGGAAATGAAAATTTGATTTTAATCTTTGTGGTCAGATAGTAAATGGATAAGGAGGCGGCTGAGACAGCGAGGGAGTCGCTGGAGCTTGTGTTTCGAATGTCGAACATCTTGGACACTGGTCTCGATCGACATACCTTGTCTGTTTTAATAGCTCTCTGCGATCTTGGTATTAACCCTGAGGCTCTTGCTGCTGTTGTCAAGGAGCTTCGCCAGGAATCTGGCACCAGCTTAAGATCATAAATTTTAAATCCATATGCTTCTTTGCAGAATGGATCATGTTGGAAAAGTTGTGTAATCGATTTTCTTCTGTATGTTTGGGTTTCATTTACCATTAATTATCGAGTGTTCTTGAGCGTTACTCTTGTTTAAAAAAAAAAAACTAAAAAAATGAACACTGTTATAAAAGTAACACACTTGCCTCTAAAGATGCTATACAACTTGTGTAGAGATTGACATCCAAAGGCTACTAATACTACACACATCTTCACTCAAAAATTCTTTGGAGGGGCCTTCTTGAATCACAACCCCATGTTCTTGATTTCTTGTGTCGCTCGCACCACTAGTAGTCTAGTTCATAGTTCCCATGTTTTTACTAATCAAATTTTACTAGGTGATCACTTATATATAAATGATATCCAATGAATTGTACACTGAAGGAATAACAGAAGAATATATTAGAAAAGACATGTTTATCATATATAATTGAGTTATTTTTCAAACATGTAAAAACATAAAAACTTTGATTACTACCGTGAATGGTTAAAAACATCTGCATCATGTTGTCAAAACATGAAAAATGTAAACAACTGGAATTACCATTCAGCGAAAATATTACTCTTTCAGAAATTTTACAAATTTTTATACAATATGATCTACATATATGTATGTATACATATTATACATGATTTATAAACTAAATCCTTGTTTGGAAAGAGTCTAAATCATGAAGGCACGAGAGGTTTTGTATTCCAGTACTAACGTAGGTGAGGATGTTCGAAAGGGTTTAAATGACCTTGGGACGAAGATCCGGTAATGTTGAAACATATACCAAACTCCATTGGGGTTGTCGTAATATACCCTTCGTTTATCATCTCCAAGTTGTTCGGAGCATACCCGTTTTGTTGATACGATTTATTGATTTCAATATTGTGGTAATCATTTGCACCATATTGTTGGTCCATAGTGGTATCACCTATATAACCAAAATTCAAAATGATATCATACTATGACCAACATTTTAAATAGTTGTTCACAATAATATTACTAACTTGTAAATTACCTTGCGTCAAAAGAGGAACCTCGTTTGTTTTTCTTTCCTTCACTTCTAGTAAGTTCCACTTTGAGTAAGCTTGTCGCGCTAGCCTCTTAACATAGAGCTGCAACAAAGTGTTACCATTAACGAAATAAAACACAGTTTCTCCACAAAAATGACTTTAAAATCAAAGTAGAAAACATATATACCTGATTCCGTGCTTCTACACACGAGAAAACCTGGCCATCAATCACTGCTTCTATCACTTCGCATATTGGATTCAAGGTCAAGTGAAAATCAGGTCCTCTGTGAATGTATAACTTATCTCCCAAAGTACACTCTCTAGCATGTTTATATGTGACATCCCACATTTTATCAGACATTCCTTGCCCCAAAATCTGTAAACAAACAAACCCTTGTTAGCCAGACAATAAAATTGTATACAGGAGTAATTTATCTATCAGTGATTAGGACAAATTAAATAAATAATAGTTTTACTTGACGGAGTCTGTCGAGGTCAATGACCGAAAACTTCAAAAAGTCTTGAACAGTGTTGATGTTTTCAGCAGAGAGCTTCTTGTGAAAGGCCCCATCTTTGCCTATCTTCTCTAGCCGCCACACGTCGTCTTCTAACATTGGTGGGTGATGTTTCTTGTACACTTCACCAACCCCAAATAGTAGAAAACAAAACTATTAATACAAATTATTTAACTTGTATTATCTGACTGTCCCTATTGTACATAACTGCTTATGCTTTTGAATTTTTGAAACCACTAGATTAGTATTAATGGTTCATAACCAAAATATATACGCATTGACCAAGACCAAGACTTTGTTCCATTTATATAAAGTGGACACTTGTTTGCTTATGGTCCACACCGCAAATAATTTCAATTTGTCAATGGCATACAGATTGAAATTTAACAAGTTTATGTAGAGACAAAAACAACCTGACTATTGTAAAGAAAAGACATCATGACTACAACAACTAGTGAATTTCAAAATAATTCGACGAAAGACAGCAACTTATTGTAACCTATTTCTTAATATAATATTTTAGTTCTTAAAACTAAGATTCTTCTGAAACAGAAAAAAAAAACAATAGCATATATGTACCATATATAATTATTATTTGATGAAAAATAGTTTGTGACAAAAAGATTAAAAAAAATATCAATTACGATAAGTTTTGACAAAAAGTATCATTTTAATGTATTTCTATTGCACATATGCTGCATATAATCTAGTTACTAAGGGTGCGTGGTTGATAGTGTAATCATATATAGATAGGTCAAAGATAATGGAAACATGTTTCTTGTGATGTGTTACTATCACATGTTTAGTGGGGTGTTTATCAATGGATCTATAAACCCCAAAAATATGTATAGAAATATTTTTTTATATATATATTTAGTAACTACTAATTAAAGATCAGGCAAAGGAACTTACATTCTCCACGATGATCTCTAACATTGAATGCTTCAGTCATCGCTTCACAAACCGCAACGCCTTGACCGCTACTCCCTTTCGCAACTTTCACGCCAATTCTAAACTTGCGGCTACGAATCCAACTAGAGTTATCTGTAAACTCAATCTCTCCTATAGTTCCAACGCCGTTTCTCACCGTCACAGTTACTTCTCCGGCAAGTAACGGCCTTTTACCATCTCTTTCTTTCACGATGTTACGCTCAAACTCATCACTACTCCATTTATCACCCGAAGGAAAGTCTCCATGAAGGGCTACGATGTCTAGTCTGATCGGACGGTCGAGATTCACCGGAGCGATGGAATGGTCGTTGTTTGAGACATCAACAAGGATGATCTGAAGTGGATTGTTGTCCACGTCAATGATTTTGCTTCCCGTGAATATTGGTTGCATTAGTTTTTTAGCGAACATTAGCTTTAATGTCGGACCATTAGTGTTCTCCGGAGCTTCGACACGAAAAGATGATGACGTATAAAATGGTCGAAGTCTTTTACTTATTCCATGTTCCACTTCTTGTCTTACCTGTTCCCATCGCCAAAAACGAGTTATTAAATACTCTTACGATTTATATTTGATATTTCCTTACACAAATTACAAAAGTTACTAAAATGTTTATTATCTCTGTAGTTACTATGATTTACTACACTATATTATATATATATATAGGTGTCTATTGTCTTAATACAATGTGTGACACCATGTGAAGTTTGAAAAGAGGATATATGAGATCTTGCTAAACGTTTTTTAAAAAAATATCATGAAACAAATTAAATTGTATAAAGAAAATATTTGTAGAATGGAAGTAGCCTTAAATTTTTGTAGGCCTATATGCAGATCTCGTCAGTGATACTACCTTAGCGTATATACTTGTATAGACCGTTATTTGTCTTTTCTTGTTAATAATACTAAAAAGATCTGTAACTTTGCAAGTATTTATTTCAATCTTCATGGAATTAAGATATATTGATAAGTGTGTGTGTGTATGTGTTGTGGATATGTATAGGTTTAACAACAAGATATCGAATCTTTCTTATTTTATCAACTTCCAACTCTGCCTATATGCTGTCAATGCTAGACTTCTGTCTAAATATATATATATGTCAATGCTAAACTTCTGTCTAAATATATATATGTGGGGGGGGGGGATGCATGGGTGCTTGTTACCTAAGTCTCAGTTTGATTAAACATAGTATATATGCACAGCTAACTCTCAATCTGATAATCTGATAAATTCTCTAGTTCACTTCTCTACTTATCTACATATATCTTCTCTACTTAGTGCACAAAAAAAAAAAATCTTTGAGTTATCTTTTAAACTATAGATATGCATATGAACCTAACGTTAACTATAGATATGCATATGGAGTACTTGTTACCTAAGTCTCAATTTGATTAAACATGGTATGTATGTACAGCTAACTCTCAATTTGATAATCTGATAAACTCTCCAGTTCTCTTCTCTACTTATCTACATATATCTTTGAGTTATCTTTTAAACTATAGATATGCATCTGAACCTAGCGATACTTAACATGCAATATTGTCATATTTATGTTTTAACACAAAACAAGTAACTGTAAATAACAAAAAAGTGGAATTAAAGTGTACTTACAACTTTTCTAAGAACAGGCTCTAGGGCTAACGAAAGGCTCTTCATGGTGTTCTCAGTATTCAATGCTCCAAACAAACTGGAATTTGGCCAGGAAAAAAGAAACAGAAACGTTTCTCAGATATATATAAATCAAGAGAAGGAAAAAAAACAACTAGGGCGGGTGAGAGAGAAAGAGAGATTATACATAAAATAAAAGCACACACACACAATATTCTTATATGTAATGAACAATGAACAGCCTCCTGGCGAAAACTTTGGTTATATAGATAAGTCTGAAAGCAATATAAGAAGGAAAATATTCAAGAAGTTTTAAGGAAATTTACGAGGCAAAGAGTGGTAGAGATTTCATCCGTTTCTCCGTTATATTTTCTTGATCGGATTCTTGATCTTGAAGTAATCTTTTGCCGGCCATGGTAGTATGGTGAGAAAGAGAGAGAGAGCTTCAAGCAAATCTAGGTTTGATCTGATCTGTTGATAGAAATGTTTTGATATAAATCTAAAGGGGCAACATGATATATATGGTTGGTTTATATGGAAATAAAAGAAAATTCGCAGAACGACAAAGGAAACAACCTGGCAAGTGGTAAAACACACAAATTATGAAGTAGAAGCGAAATTTCTTTTTATGGCGTCATATATAGGAAGACTTTTGACGTCAACCCCAAAAGAGAGAGCCTTATGTGTTAACAAGTGGATGATTGTGATCTTCTACTTTTGGGTTTTTATATCTAACGGTTGATATTAAGTTCGATTACTTCTTCTGATCAGCACACAAAATAGTTCAATAATACATTAATTGGATTACTTCTTGTGGTAGATCCGGCCGGTTCTTTATATATTGTTTCCCCTTTTTCAGTTTTGTTCTCTTTATCATCATCAAAGAAGTTAACATTTTTCTTGTTTTCTTTTAACTGTAACATTTTTCTTGTTGGGAATCGAAAAGTTAAACATTATTGATCAACATAATTATGATAAAACAAGATGTCATATATATATATATGTGTGATAAATCAGTCGGATCTGACCAGGAGCATAGACAAAAAAAATCAACCGTTTAGAATATCATAATTTTGTTGTTAAAAAGAATAGAATATCACAATTTGAATTGTAAGTAAGTCGTTTTCAAAATATCTAAATGGAAAATAAATGCACAAATTTTTATTTTCAGTGTTATGACTTTTTTTTTTAAATGTGCACTGACAAGATGAGTTATTAGTAGTTTCCTGTATAACATAATTAGAAAATTATGAAAATTAGAGAAAAAGACAGTTTTTTGTTTATGTTTGTTTCTTCTTCATTTTATGCCAAAAAGGTAAGTTTGCAATAACCTCAACTTGTTAGTTTTAGTTGGCTGGTCCGACACATATGGATATATTCTTTTTAGAATTAAAATCCGTCCAACTACTATCTTTTCAGCATATCAAAAGAAACTCTTGTAACCTTTTTGTTTTTCTGAAAATATGCTAAAATTTAATAGCTATTATTAAACTAGAATTCTGTAAACAATCGTTTTCTAAATGTAGAATTGCTTGCGTTAAAAAGAAAAAGAAAATCTTATGATCCAATTTCTTATAGGTTCATTTACTATTAAACTACATATAAAGGGTGAAGTGAATCATTTCGAAGAAGGTTCGTTGAATTGATCTGTTCTTCTCGGGGTAGTTTCTTGTCAGGTCAGTTTTTTTTTTTTTTGATCAAACTTGTCAGGTCAGTTTCAAATCTCAATCTTCCTCACAAAACTTGTCTCGTTCTTTTAGCTTTCAGTCGACTTTGTTAAGTCTCTATCAAAAATATTAATTTTCTTTCAAAATATTCTTGGAGGCGTTATATAATTAATGAATGACAACGATGATAAGCTTTTATGGTATTTTGTTTCATAGTCTTTGTCATGATATTTTCATTACACAGAGTATATACGAAACAATTACTATCTACTCAAATTGATATAATCTAATCGATGAGAACTCCCTTTCTCAATTGCTATCCTCTTTTGGAGTTGGCTAATTCAAAAACTCTGTAGATTTGTTGTTGATTTTGTACATTTTCATACTAATTGAACTTCTAATTCACTATTATCCCATTTCTAGCTTTGTAATGATATTTAAACCAAAGATTAAATGTAATTTGTGGACGTGAGGCATGGCTAGTCAAGGAAGATCTGTTGTGATGTCAAGGGCGAGAGATGCCTCTGGTGAAAGCGGAAGAAGCTTTTAAGGGCGAGCACACGGTTGAATTAATTAGTCTTTGAATCAAAACCGGTTTCTTTTGATATGTTTTATTTTATGTAACATAAACCAAATAATCATTAAACCCAAAATGTCTTGTCCACAAAATGATATGTTGAATTCTTTTTTTTTTTTTTTTTGATCAAATGATATGTTGAATTCTAAATATTTGTTTTGGGTCTTCACTCTAAGCTCTTTAACATTATAAAAATACGTTAAAACAGAAACATTTGTTCTCTTGCAGCATCTGCGCATGAAGGTTCTGTTTCAATTTCCAGGAAAGAAAGAAACAAACATCTTCTGCAGTGTCGACAATATAACCTTAAGCATATCAAAACGATTAACCATCATTCTACATAACCTGAGCGAGGAAAGAAAAGCTGACAATGACAACTGACAATGGTATCTTCAGTAAAATGAGATGCTATAGACAAGTTTCCGCCTCTGCTGTTTTTCAAAGCCAGCAACAATGTCATCTATCGTATCTTCCCATGATTCATTCCCTTCAATCTAAAACCCATAACAACATTAATATTATGTTAATTAAATATATCACCACCAATATAAAGTTTTATCAAAAGACTGCAACTACATGAATGATGAAAATAAAAACCGAATAGGAGTAGTGATTGACCTCTTGACAGAGTTCTAAGGCAAGTCGGCCACCAATAGCTGCTTCTTCGTGGTTATCTTTAACCTCCAGGTTCATCACTAGTATTGTTTTCATCAGTGGCTGTTCTCTGTTATTAAGATCTGCAGATTGGTAATTATAACATATAAATCAACGAGATAAAGATAGTAAGACACACACACAAGACTGTTTCTAATTACTTTCAAGAAAACTCCCTCAAACCATGTTTTACTAAATTCTCATCAACTTCAACAGTTCATATTTAACCATCTCTAACCTTAACTAATTCGACCTAAATCACCAAATGACCACTACTCATAAATTAGGTAAAAGCCACACAAAACTAAATAATCAAGCCGTTGAGACTACCTTCAAGAACAGAATCGAAAACATCCATGACTTGGGTAATCATTTCTCTGCTAATGAATAAATCCATGACTTGGACAAGTTAATATTCAGACATCAAACCTAACTAGTTTATGATGGAACATCAACGTAGTTTGCCGTCAGGATCAAGAAATTTCAATTACCTTCAAGAACAGAGTCGAAAACCTTTTCTTCAAAAGTCATAACAACATCAAACACACCATCACCACCATTATCTTGCCATCTCTGTGGAGCAAGCTTCACATTCAGGTTCCTCTTAAGCATCTGCAAGATCCCATTCCTCTTGTAACTAAACAAACAGTCAAGGCTCTCAATAAATAAAATGATCCAATTACAAAAAAAAAAAGCAATTAGGGATTTGGAAGAGATAAGGATACAGCTCAGGATCCTTGCGCCTGAGTTCATCGAACATCTGCTTGTACGGAGTTCCGAAGTCGTAGACGTTTGGCTCTCTGGCGGATGGTCCGGGGAGTTTAACGTGAGACCCTGTCCCGTACGAAGCTACGTCGAGTCCTTGTCTCTTGAGGAGGAAGTGAGCCTCCATGCTCCGGTTCTGATTCGATGAGCAGACCATGGCGTACCGGAACCTCATGGCCGCGATGAGTGAATCGAAGATTGGTTTCCCGGCGAGTGTGGGCGTTGGTGGCCGGAGCAGTTCGATTTCAGAGATGAATGTTATGTTACTGAATTGGGTTGGGCCTGGGCCGGGCTTTTTTAAACACGTTCATACACGTTTTTGTCGATTTTCGGTTAGTTTAGTCTCTACAAAATCTTACCGGATTGAACCGAAATAATTCGGTTCGGTTTGGTCTAAAAAAAGTTGGTATTTTGGAAATTGTACTGAACTAAAACCGAATTTTCTCAAGTTCGATTCAATTATAATTGTTTAAAATTTGGGTAGTTTGGATTGAAATTTGACTATCATTGCCGTATGATTAAATATAATTCTAACTAGATGATTTTCCGTGCACGGGTATGAATATTTATAAAAGTAAAATTTTATAATAATTGATTGATATTTAGTTTTAGTTTTAAATAAATTTATATGTATAATTTATATTAATAAATATTATTATTCTAATTATACATATGATTTTGGATATATTATTGTCAGTTTAATTATATTTTGGATCAATAGTCAGTTTAGTTATCAATTTGGTATATTGGAATATCTATTTCTAGATTTCAGCTATAATATTTTTTATTCTAAATATAATAAAACTTTGATCAATTTTCTTATTTTCATTTCGGTTGGTTATTTTCTTAGATATGTAAATATATTCTTATATATGTAAATATATTCTTATATATGTAAATATATTATAGTTATATTATGTATAACTTAATATATATTGTGCTTAAAATGAAATAAATAATAAGCTGAAGTGTTTGATTCAAAATTACATAAATGAATATAATGATAATATTTTGAAGTCTCATGCATATATATAAATTCTACAAAAGAATTAAATTGTAATTGGTTAATATTTTCTTTTTCTTTTTAATATGCATTGAGTCAACCTCTAATTTATATGTATAAAATTAAATATATTATTCTTATTATTATAAAATTATATGTTCTTATTGTAGTTAGATGTTTAATTTTGGACATAAATTAGATTAGTCGAGTCATTCATTTTGTGAGTATATTGAGTTAAAGATATTTTTAAATTAAAATTAAAGTATAATTACTTTTGATTTTAGTTAATTCAAATCAAATTTGTTTTATTTACCACTTAAATATATATATGTATTTTTATAATATTTATTTACTCTTTTTAGTTAAGTCAAATCAAATTAGTTTTATTTATCCATTAAATATATATGTATTTTCATAATATTTATCAAATTACATGTTGATTTCTAAAAAGTATTAGAAAATAAAGTGTAATTGATAAATTTTTGAATGTTCATGAACATATATATTTTTACTATTTTGAAAATATATTTTATGTTATTTAAATATATATATTAATGGGAGTATTACTATTTTGTGAACTTTCCTTTTTAATAAAGTCATATTATATACCTATATTTTCGTTTTTAAATTTGTTTTAAAATTTTAGAAATATTTTTTTTTTATTTTATATGTTATTTGGAAAAAGGTAAAAAGAAAACCAAATAAAAAATTTAGTAATAATTTAAAATCTAACAATTCATTAAGGATATCTATGTAATCAACCATCGCGAGAGTTAACGTGAGTCCGACACGTAAGAAACTGACTTCTCAAATAATATTATAGAGATTTGAATAATTTTCTACGAAATATAAAAACCAAACAAACAGTACCGAACCGATAACCAATTTTTTACCCAAACTTCAACCCAAAACCAAAAGAAATTCGGTTGGGTTTGGTGAGTTCTAGTATATTTCCGTAGGCAGTGTGTTAGTCGAAAGACTGAACAAAGCTGTAAACAAGACGGAAAGTAATCAAGTCGGAAGAACATTGTCACCGAAACCAAAAAAAACAAACTGAAGAACACATAAATTTCTCCGGGGGTTTATGAGCAAAGTACTAAATGATACCTTGAACTTAAAAAAATACAACTAATTACTTCTTTGTTCTACAGATCATCTCAAACTTGCCTCGGACCTTACATTCAAACCCAAAACCTGTCTCTACTAATGGAGACCAAGTGATTATATCAATGAGCTTCACTGTCGGAGCATCTGTTGGAGCTGAAGGACTTGGTTTCTCTGTTCTGGTGGCAGTAAATTGATCTGCTCTGGGGTCAGACTCATCACCTGTTGAAGCAATGCCTTCTCCATATCAGCAGATATCTGCACAAATAAGAAAAGAAAAAAACACAATAATCATCAACAACATGAACACAAGACTCTCTGCTCAGTGATTAGCAAAAGTAATTTAGAAATCAACTAAAGCGTTTACTAGAAAGGAATGTTAAAATGATAGAACCACACAGTCATGGACGTGATATATATATACTATGGCTGCATCTTTCAGTTGCAATATGGGAAGGTAAATTACCGGTGCAGGGCGAGGTGGTGGTCCGCCTCCAGGCCCGACTTGGCTTGGTGGAGGAACCGGTCCTAATCCTGGGAGATGAGTAATGTTTGAGCTCTCTGGTTGGCCAGCCATCCAAGAAGGACCTCTGTCTGCAGCCATCGGACCTCCTAATTGGTTATTATTGTAGTCCCCACGAAACTGACCACCCTGAAACAAAAGACAAGAATACAAGCAGTGAGATTCAAAAGCAAAACAAAAATCTGCACAATTTCAATTGAAGTTGTTTATTGTTTTAAGCAAAACCATGGTAACGCAAACAGAACTAGAAAGTAGATGACAATGAACAAAGATGAGAAGAATGAAAGATGTTGGAAAGGATCCTCAGTAAAGGGTCAATCTATTCACTAGAGATAGAGCAGCATAATTACATAATCAATCAGAGAAACCACCAAACATATTGTCTAAATTGATAAGACAGCAAGAGTAACCTGATATGGTGGCTGATTAGGCAGATGTGGCTGTCCCTGCGGGAAGTGAGGTCCACCAGAAGCTGAAGGTCTGTTGCCTGACTACAAATTGGTTCAAATAACGAGCTTTAGTCAGTCAAACACATAAATAACAATGGTCGAAACAAAGAGACCTGATAATAGCTACTTGAACTCACATGAAAACTAGGTTGAGAATGATGCTGAGGAGGTGCACCATGGTGCTGAAACCCAGTGTTGGGACCAGTCTGCGACGGTCCAAACTGATGATGATATGGTCTAGCCTGTTGTTGAGCCAAATGAGAACCCCCAACCCCAACAGAGTGCATTGGTTGTTGCTGTTGTTGTAACTGAGTAGAGGAGGCTGGTATATCAAGATGATGAAACGGAGGTTGTTGGGATGTTGGATGACGGGGAGCTAGAGAAGGCGCATTTTGAACTTGAGGATGAGACAAAGAAGCGCCAGCAGGATTCAAATGTCCCTGGCGCTGAGGATGCGAAAAACGAGGCTGTGATGGAACATTACTGGTTGCAGTGACAGGAGGTGGAGGAGGAGGCATAGGCATTGGTTGTTGTTGTTGTTGCATTGGGTGTTTTCTAATAGGTGCTTGTGGTTGTATTGTAGCTGCTGGCTCTTGAACAGAAGGAACATGAACTTGAACGTTCGGCTTCGTCGGGATCGATTGACGGGACTGTTGAGGCTGTGGCGCTACTTGAGGCTCAACTTTCTGAACCTAAATGAACATAGCTGTTAATGAAATAAAACTACAAAAAAGTGACTCAAAGGAAAGTTTTTCTTTAAGGGTTTCAAGAAGATACCACTTGAGGAGGCTGAACCATTCCAAGCATGATCTGTGCCTGAAATTCAGCAACATATAATATCATCCCAACCCTAATTGTTCATGTCACAAAACCCTTTTTTTTTTTGTAAATCTATATGAAGGCATCATCAACACATTGTTCAATGTCACAAAATCAGAAACCCTAATTTTTTAACCTAACAATTTAACAAAAGCAGTCCAATAATCAAGAAAGAAGCTCACCTGGAAAAGAGCCTTGGTCAAAAGAGGGTTCCGAATCAGAATCTCTCTCGCTTGCTCGTGGTTTTGATCAATCAGCGTCTGTTTCATCAGATTCAATCAATCAAAAACAAGAATTCAAGAAACGAGAAAGAGTTTAGAAGAGTAAAGAAAAGGGAGAAGAGAACCTTCATTTGAGACATGATATCGTAAAGCTGACTTTTGGTCATTCCGGCGAGATTCTCCGGGACACCGCCCTCTCCGCCGATTTGCTTGCCCGCCATCGTATTCGTCGGGAGTCGCAACCGTGAAAGCCTGAGTGTGCTCGGTGCGCTTTAACACTGGGATAGAAAACAGTCACGTGAAATTGGCCTTGACGATATGGGCTTATATGGTGTCAACCCGACCCGATTTGCTTTACTCGTTTAAACTTGGCCCATGAATCAGAGATTGCAGTTTAAAGGAATTGAATTTGAGTATTATGATTTGAGTTTTGCAATCTAACAAATATATACAGCAAAAACTCTATAGATTAATAAGTTTTAGATTTTGGTATTTTATTAATTTACAAAAACTTTCATTTATGAAATTTTCTATTTTAATTTTTTTTTATAAAATAAGAAAAATCTTCGTTTTAATGCGTATATATTAATTAAATTTTTAAAATTAAAAAATTATGTTCGTTTTTTTTATTATTTGGTGTATATAAAATATGTCTCATAGAATCTAAATGTGGTTTTAACTCATCAAAATATTTTAAGAGTAAAGAAATATAAAGATAATTTTATTATGAGTATAAAAGAAACAATATAATGGTTGATTTGTACTTATATAAAATATATATACATATATATTATTAATTTATAATTTTAATTTTACCATATATTTACAAAGAATTTTCTAAAAAATATTATCTTATTATTTTATTCTTTTGTGTTATATTTTGAACACTCAACTGGAAAAAATTATTAATTTATAGGAGTAATATTTATTAATTTATTGCTTATTAATTTATAAAATTTCTACTGTAATAAATGAATATATAACATTTGAATCGCTGAACCAATAAAATGAAACTGCAATTTATTTATAAAAGTTTTGGATTATTAAATGATTAATTATAAATTTAAAAATCATGATTGGTGAAAATGCTCAAAACCGCTTAATTTTATTCTGCAATTATATCACCACATGCATGAATTACACTAGTATCCCCTGAAAAATCTGATCAGCTATTTTTCTTTGGTTTACTATAAAAAAAATCAGTGAAATAATAAGATTCATGTATTTACATACAGTAAGATACTTTCTTATAAATCACATAAAATATTGGTATAATTTAGTCCCAGTTGATGCCATACATTGAAGAAAAATGAAAAAAAAAATGTACGTAAGGTTTTCCGAACCAAAAAAGAGTGGTATATGCAGTGTTGCGTCGTGTAAGGTATGTCAGCTACGGCTAGGAGTAAAAGCGTCAATTACGCCCACCGTTTAGAAGACTTTGACAAACTAGAAGCGTTACTTGTCTTCTTGCTGCCTAGAAAACATATCAATCAAACAAACGTTCGTTGTAATTAATCTGATTATTAGAAGACTAATACACACTAACTAATGAATATTATCTAATTTTCAAATGGCAATCTAAAGCATATGTATGGGTTCTTAGTTTTGCTTACTTGATGACGTCAACCCCGATGCAACCTTAGAAACTGTCGATGTTGTTCTTGTAGCTACTTTCCTAAGCTTATCGAGTGGTCGTGTTACAGCCGAGGACCTTGGAGGAGTTGACTTCGCTCTGTATTTTCATCCACCATTACAACGTTGATTAAAAATGAATAAAACAACCTCTTAAAAACCAGAACGACATGATCATATGTTTGAGTCTTAACCTGTCTGAGAGTTTAAGTCGTCTTTTAGCAACATCAGGGGAACCTTGAGTTCCGTTAGAGGCAACATCAGACGTACCTTCGCTGAACCTCTCCTCATACTCTGCTTCGGCGGAGGATGCTAAACTCTCTCCGTCAGTAATGACTTGTCTTGACTGTGATGAATATTCTCCATTTTCTGAGCTTATGTCATCGGTTTGTCCTAAGCTCTTTATCCTCACCATTTGTTTCTGAGGTCTAATAGGATGATGAATCTCCTTTACCAACTGAAGCCTCTCTATCTCTTCATCTTTCCTTGCTATTGTGTCCTTAAGCGACGCTAACTGTAAACAAAATAAATGATTCATGTAAATGCTAATGGTAATTAGAGCCCGTTCTTAGGATAGGCAAGTGAAACACTGGCTTAGTGATAAGCATATTAATCCTAAAAAAATTACAATTAAAATATTTACTAGTTTGTTGATAGCCTCCAAAATCTCAAAAACGACAGAATCATAAGTCTCGAACTTACCTGTTCCATTAAGTCGCGAACATCTTTACCATCTTTACTGCTCTTTGCAGCACCAAGTTCAACTCCAGAGACTCGTTCGGCGAATTTTAAGGTACTCATAGACTCTGAATATGAAATAGCATCAGGATTGAGTTGCACAAACATTAGGGTCTTTGCTTGTCCTCCTATACTCCAACATCACAAAAAAGTCATGTTTATGATTATATCTGTTAAACTGAGAAACTAGAACATCAATTTAACTAACTAACCAAGAGAGCTTTGTAATAGTTGTGTTAGCTTGCTGTTTCTGTAAGGTATATGAGAACTCTTTGAAGCTAGAGAGAATATCACATCTCCAAGAGATGAGAGCGATTTGTTTATATGTTGTGCTTCTCTAAGTCTGTCTCCTTTAACTTCAGACCGATCTACTCTCTCACTTCCAGCCAGATCAACCAAGTGAAGATTTCCATATAGCACAGAACCGGTCTTCGTATCTTTACCACGAACGTGAACAGTTACAATGCTGCATAAGGAAACGTATAGTTAAGTGTTAAGGACCTGTTAAACACGCATATTTTTTTGTTTCATGGAGATGAATATGAAGTAAGAACCTGTGAGAGCGACTACTTCGTTCATTCATGGCAGTAGCACCAACGGAACGATTCTTTAGTCCAATGTCCATCAGTGTAATCACATCTGAGGTTGATTTCACAGGATACATGCTTGCATCAGGCACAGCCAAACCATTTTGTGAAGTTGTAGACAGGATCCCTAGTGTGTGCAAGGTCAAGGTAAACAAAGAAAAAAAACAACTAGAAATAAAGAGAGTATAAGAAAACGAAGTTGAAAAAAGGATATTTCTTGTGAGAACTGTCATCAGACAACAAATCTAGCACTTGTTCATTGTATATCTCAACCATTTGCACACCAACTTCATAGTTTATGTTTCCCTTTCTGGATTGAGATATTTTAAAGAGATCATTGAGTGCACGATAGTTAACTCCCCAGTCCTCTTCACTTGCTCCGTCTGGACCAGTCTGAAAGAACAAGAATGATCTTGTTTGAGCCACTTAAAAAGAACATTTCATTCAAGAAATAACAAAGAAGACATACATACCATTGTATAAGTTTTCCCTGATCCTGTCTGACCATATGCGAATATACAAACATTGAAACCATCAAGCACTGACCGAACCAGTGGTTTTATATCTGTAAAGACCTCAGCTGAAAGAATCCAAGAAATCAAATGAACATGGATTAATATACTTTGATGTTTCTAATGTAACATCCATAGCATAAATGATAATGTAAAAAGATTGACACCTTGAGTAGCAGCTGGACTATAAACTTTATTGAACCTAAACTTTCGAAGACCGTCTTTCCCGGGTCTAGTGGGATTGGTGACTACCAATTCTCCATCCTCACCAACGTACTCGACCACAGTGTTTGGTGCACCTTGTCCAGGAAGGAAAGGCCTCACCCGGCAAAACACTCTGATGTTTCCTGCAAGTCACAAGTATACAACTTATATATATGCTGCATATTTGAAAATTTACACATCCATAACAAATGTTAAAGAAAAATATTTTAGCTTGATCCTTTTAATACCTTTAAGCTCTTGAAGCTCGTTGAAAAGCTTCCGGTTTTCGGTTAGTACTGCGTGATAGTTTTCAGCAGCATTGCTAAGTTCAATCAGTTTATTTCCTGAAGAGACATGTATTGACTGATCAAGACTACAAAAAATTACAAGGTCATAAAACATCTAGCATATATTAGAACATTCTCTTACCTAATTGGCTGAATTGTTCTGTATAGTTCTCTTGAACCTTCAGAATTTCTTGCTTGATTGAACTTGAATAGAACCTCAGCTCCTGAGATTCAGCATAGTTAGCCAACTATAGATAGTAAATACAGCACAGTTAGTATAAATATATATACCTCTAGTGTCTGAGACTGGTAATTAATGAAGTTTTTGTAGGAAACTTCTTTCTGACTCCAACTTTGTTGTTTAGACTCAGATATTTCCTCCATTTCTTTGACTTTATTCTTCCAGTTGACAAGGTTCTCTTCAAGCTCTTGAATCTTTCCTTCAAGACTTGTATTAACAGTTTTTGTTTCTTTCTCCATTTCTTGAAGCTCTTTTATCTTCTCCTCAAGAGCTTCTTTAGCAGTATGTGCATCTTTTCCCATCTTCTCGAGCTCGATTACTCTTTCCTCAAGGGAAGTTTTCACAGTGTTTGCCTCTTTTCTCTCTTGCTCAAGTTCCTTCAGCCTGTTCTCAAGTCCTGTTGTGGCCAACATCGTTTGGCTTTGCATTTGAGAGCATTGCTGCTCATATGCTTTCTTAGTTTTCTCCAGTTCTTTCCTTAACGCTGAAACTTCAAGGTTGAACTGATCGTTTTCTTTTGATAGCTTGGCCATATCCTCCTCTTCGTTCTTCCACTGTTCTTCCCACTTTGTCTTTTCTGTCTATCAATCATTTAAAATCTCCTTATCAGGCTAATACAACATAACATTTTGACATAAAGCAGAACGTGCAGTGTAAAATTACACTGTGTAATGTACTAACCATGGTTTTGTTTTCCATTTGCGTGCTTCTTTGTTTATATTCTCTTTTAGTTGTCTCAAGCTCTTGCCTCAAAGCAGAGATTTCTAGGTCGTATTGACAATTTTCTTTGAGTAGCTTAAGCATATCCTCTTCTCCGTGTTTCTTCTTTTCTTCCCAGGTTGACTTCTCTGTCTATCATACAGTATAAATCCCAAGTCAAAGATATGTAGAGATACCAATATTACTAAAGTATAATGTTACCTTAATTTTTCTAAGCTGTTGTGTAGCAATCTGACGAATAATCAGTTTATTAGCAGAGGATGTGAGACATTATGTGACAAGATCTTAAGCAATCAGTATTTCATAGGCTAAACTGGTTTAACAAATGATACATACATACCTCACTTTCTTGACCACTTCCTGATGCTAAGGCTTCAAGGACGTTGATCCTTGACTGGTACTTCTCCTCTCGAGTTTTGAACATATTGTTTTGCTGCACAGAGAAAAAAAAAAGAAACTACTAATCAAAACTAGAAACTGAATACATTTTCTTGAAGAAAAGAAAAGAAAATAGCATACCGTTCTTAGATGCTCAGCTTGAGTTGATATACGTCTCTCAATCTCTTGCACAACTTTTCTCAACAGGCACGCCACTCTCTGATCATTATTTAGATTTTGTCAATACATGTCGTAAGCAGTAGTATGATCCAAAGTGTTAGCATTCAAGATACCTGAGGGATTTCACCGTTCTTTCTTTCAATACTTTCATCTAAGATTCCATTCACCACGCTTAGAAGTGACTGTGTTGGTGCATTCTGCATCAAACATAAGCCAAAAGAACAATGTAAAAGAGAATAAACTATTATCCAAGGAAAATGCAGATGAGGTAGTGGAAATACTACATCTAAGCTATTTGATTTCATCATTTCAGAAATCTTTGAAGCTTGAAGATCATAACGTCCTTGTTTCATCTGAAAAACCTCATGAAACTTGTGTCCACCATGATGCATTGATCCAGGGGATGATGGATCTACAAGGCTTAAAGAATCAGTAAACAAAGAAGATTATACATAAACAAACAAAGGCAGACATCAATAACTACAACGCATGTACCAGAACAGGGGAGGGCTTGCTGGAATTTGGACTCTGCGAGGGTTTTGTGCCTCTCATCTCCAGATAATGGAGAATAGGGAGAGAAAGGACTACGAGGAGTTGTATCTCTTTTGGAATCTGCATGGTTTCTATGCCTTTCATCTCCAGAGAAGGGAGAAAATGGACTACGAGGAGTTGAATCTCCATAAGGGCTGCCTGATTGATCACGCATTGGATTCATATATGCGTCAAGGAGGTTGAAAAAGCTAACTTATGGAAACACTTGATAAACCCAAAACTGGATCATTCAACTCCTGAGACATGATTGATTCAGCAAAAATGATTGATGGTTAGATTATACTATACCCATAAAAGATAATAAGAAAAACACATAGAAGAGGAAGCTAGAAGAAACTGGAATAGCCTAGTTTATTTTCTTGTTCCACAAGCAAAGATGGGTAAGAAAAACATGATCAAATGTCACCAGAAAGCTAACAGGAGATAACCTTTTAGAGACAATCCCATAGCCCACCATGAGGTTCAGGGGCTATAAACATTTCAAAGTAAACTTTACATTTTTTTTTGCAATTTATGTTGTTTAAAAATATATATTAACTCTTTAAATTTCAGTTACAAAAAAGAAAAAAAAGTCTTTAAATTTTGGGAGTCAAAAAGAATGTTTCATTACACTTTGTCCAGACTAGTCATGGACAAACCTAACCTTTTAGAACTGCAATAAAGATATGAAGAGACAAAGCTAACGAGAACATGATCAACATGGAACTTCCGAGGATTCTAGCAAGAACAAAACATAACGTTTTACATACAAAAAATCGACAATGAAAGTAGAAGTCAAAACATGGTTGCTAATTACAGAAAAGTATAGGATCATGGCAATAAAGATACGAGGAGGAAGGTGAAAGTCGATCATTAATTACCTAGAGAAATCCAGACGAAGTTTTCTGGTGAAAACTTCGGAAGCACGCGTGGAGGAAGTCCAACCTGAGAGAAAACAATGAGACAGAGGAAAGGAGACGTGATGAGAATTTGATTAGTGGTAATAAAAACTAGAATTAATTACTTTTAATAATTACAATTGCAAACATAAAATTAAAGATCTTGGGTTGTTTTGGACTTTATTTAGGTTTGTGTACAGAGGGAGCGAGCGTGAATGTAGGGAAAGAAAGTCAAAAATATATGACAAATCTTGGCTAAAATAGGAGGAAAATCAACTACAACAAATGTTAACAGAAATAGTAATATTTGATTTAAGTAACGATTAACTTATATAATATGGTTTTGGGGTACTCATTTAATATGTATGTGTTTGGACACCACACCACGTCGGGTTGTGCTATTTTTTATGTAACGTTCGAGTTGTAGCTAGTGTTTATATCTTCTATGTGCACAATATTAAAGAGAATAATTTATAATCAAAACCATAGACTATAACAAACCAAAACGTGGACGGGATGAGATAGCAGTTTGGTATAGATTTTGTGAGTCAATTGTCATGTTCACGGATTCGACTCCAGACGGGAGAAACTGTCAATTCTTGTCACTAAATGTGGTATTGGGTGTTGGATCTTGTCTCTAACCTAGGTAAAGTCCTCCCGGATAAAGTGGACCGTTGGCTGACCAGGCCTAGAGGAATAATCCACATAAGTGGAGAACCTCTGGATTATAAAAAAAAAAAAAAAAACAAACCAAAACGTGGCGAAAAATATATTGATCCTAAGATTGATGCGAAAACAAAAGTAGCATCCTAAGGATACACTCATGTTCTGAAGGACTTACATAATATATTGAATCGCAAACGCATACAGACACTCAATGGGCTTTATATATACAGACCCTCTTATTAGTAAAACATTTTTTTTAATAAATTTTACAAAGTTTGCGGGAGGCAATATTCTTGGCACATCATAGCATACCTTGTTCATATTAGACTCAGCCGGTTCTCATTTTGTTGCACTAGCATAAGAGAAGGGTTTTTCACGCTTTGGGGGAGGTGGTGGTGGTGGGGCTGCTCCACACCTGGGAAGGGGTAGAGCTCCATATCTTGGAGGAGAAGGACCATGAGAAGATGAAGGTTTTTCACGCTTGAAGGGGACAACGCAAGGGAAAAAAAAAGTGAATTAGCATCATCTATCTTCTTTTTTTCTTTTCTTTTTGGAACACGCATCATCTATCTATCGATCTTTTATGAAAAGAAACAGCATGAAAATAAAATTGATTTTACCTGTGATTTACGATTTATGTCATTCAATTTGAACTACTTTTAGACATTTCAATAAAATTAATTTATTAATTACTTATATACTATACCGTTTTAATAGAATACACATTTATAAATGAGTTTATTTTCCAATTAATTTTTAAAAATTTCTTTGGATATTTCAAATTTTTACTAGAGAAAATATTACATACAAGTTTTAATAATCACTGTTTTTTGAGAATTTTTTATTATTAAAAATATACGTGAATATTAAGGGTTTACTTGATATATCATTAACATAAGCATTATGTTCTCTATTATTCAATCATTTGCCAAATAATCATTTAGAAAAACATTTAGAAAAACATATACCAAATGCAAATGCTCTCCAAATGATCTTTGTTCAATGCTCTAATATAGAGTTTTTGGGAGAACATTTGCAGATAAAATATATAAAACCTAAAATTAATTACATACAATTAATTTATTTTATTTAATAATATTAAAATTATTTTGCTAATCAAAAAATAAATTTATATTTTAAAAATAAAATTGTAAATTTCTAATTAAATATTTTAAAATTTTTAAAAAGAACACAATTCATATTTAAAATATAATATAATTTATATAGTTACATATTATTTATAAACTAATAAATAAATTTATATAATATTTTAAATTTTTAAAAAGAACAAAATTCACATAGATATAAACATATTATTTAGACACTAATAAATAAATTATATAACGTATATTAATTTTTAGAATAATTTTATATATGTATCATCCACTGTTCTACCAATAAATAAATAATAAAATTTTATATATAAATTATATATAATAAATGTATTTATTTAATAATATTAAAATGTGTTTATATCCAAAATAATATAATATTTTTAAGGGAAATTTTACATTTTTATATATAATTTTTATAATGAATAAGATTCAATTTTCAATAGAAATATATTATAAATATATATTATAAATATATAAATATTATTTTAAAATTAATATATTATTATACTAAGTCTTATGATAATTTTAAAATTGTATACTGCTACTGCTCTACCAATCATTTTATTAAAATTTTTAGTGAAAACATATAACTTTTGGAGCACACTGATTATGCATCATATTGTTTCTACATCATATTGATACTGTTTTATCATCTGCTGTATCAATCGAAACCTAAATCAGTTGTATTCTTAGAATGAAAATATAAATTGAATATTTTCTATTTTAAAACCCCAATAATGAACATTTTATCAGCAAAAAGACTAAAAATTAAACCAGTTTACAAATATAAACAAAAAAAAAATATCTGAACATTAACAGCTGAACTTTATAAGGTTTTGTGCTAACCGGTTTTTGTTCCTGTCCGGATCTATCAACCGGCTTCTGCACTTTTGGAAGTAAAAGTGTCTCTATTACTGATGCAAGAGGTCCTGGTTCGCTAGAAGAAAACAAGATGGATTAAGTTAATAAACCATAGGGGAAAGTAAAAAAAGTCAAATTTTCATATTTGAACCCCCAGGAAATAATATCAAAGTTAGATTAATACATTTGAAATTGAAATGAGTATAGCGAAGGACTCTCTCTCACTCTCTCCTAGAGAGACTTCTCTCTCGTTTCCTCTTCCTCTCTTGAGGGGTTAGAGATAGTTTTGAGAGTGTGGGAGAGTCCCCTAGCCTTCTTTGGTGCCTATGTCTTCTCGTCCGGCGTTGGGTGGCCGGTTATTTGTCTCCGGGAAGTGATGGCTCCGATTAGCATCAGCTTCGCCGGCTAAAGCTTGGTTATTGTCTCCGGGAAGTGATGACTTCGACTAGCATCATTATCGCCGGCTTAAGTTTGATTATTGTCTCCGGACCGTGCCGTTTTCCTCAGCGGTGGTCGTCGGTTTTTATCTTTCTTTGGTTTTTCTAGATCTATGTGGTGGTTCCGTTTTCGTGTGTTGGTGTTGGTGCTTGGATGAGATCTCGATTTCGTTCGATTGAAGCTCTCCAAAGACCAAGTTCTCTATTTGATGTATGATGACTTCGTGTTCAAGAGGAGATCTCGACTTTGCTCGATTGAAGCTCCCTGGTGAAAGAATCGGTTGTGATGAAGTCGTGTGCGGTGGTGTCGCTTTTTGCGTGGCGGCGTGTTTCCGGTTAGGTTGTTCGACGTGTTTGGTAGTGGTGGCGGCTGTAGGTTTACACTGGTTTTAGGGTTGTTCTCCCCCTTTTGTTTTTGGGCTCATAATGGATTTGTTGTTAATTGCCTTATCTTTAAAAGTTTGGGCTTGTAGTTCTTTTGTATGCTTGTGGGCCTTTGGCTTTTAATATAATTAAGTGAAAAAAAAAAAGATTAATACATTTGTCCTTTCATACGTCTCTGGTCGTCGTTCCATAAGGCACTTGCTAATTTCAGATAAGAAAATCTCGAACCAGGACGTGCAAGACCATGGCATCTCCCTACACCTTTAGGATAAACTGCAGCTCTTCTACCACCAGATGGTGGTCGTGGAGGAGGAGGACCATGTGCTCTTCCATACATCGGAGGAGGAGGAGGAACACGAGCAGTCCCACCAGGAAGGTGAGGTGTTGACGGTGGGACTCCTCTTCCACGCATCAGCAGGGGTGGAGGGGAAGGGGGAGGTGGTGCTGTGCCACGCATTGGAGGTTAGATCCGTGCTAGTGTTTTGACCAAAACAAAATGAAAAAGATCTTTCTTGATTGTTGTGATCTTCACCCGTTTAGATGAACAATCTATATATAAACTAAAGAATAGGATGGAAATTTTCCCGAAAGTACAAGAAAGAACGCAGTTGACTTTGGAGAAAAAAAAGACTGTTTGTTCATAATTCGAAGTTCGACCAGACTGTTTCTTCCATTTTTTTTTAATTTACAAATGATTTTCGTTTACCGAAACTCTAAAAAATTATAAATAAAATTGATTGCGTTAGTTTTGATTTGAAATAACGTGTGTCTTCTGGATAATATATTTTTCTTGAAATTTATATCAAAAACGAACGCGGAAACACTTCTTGAACCCTGAAGTGTGAAAAAGAAAAACACAGGCTATAATTGATACTAGATTTTGACCCGCGCAACCGCGCGGGTGTTTGTTTTCGTTTATAGTTAGTTATATAAATATTTTTTTTTCACTTGTAAATTGGTCTATATTATAGTATTCACATATTTACTATATGTATAGTAAGTATCTTTCAAACATAATATTATTATATAATACGTGTTTTAATTAAATAAATTGTTTCAAATTTTATATATTATACAAATTTGTTTCTTCTTCTATATTTTATTATTTGTTAGATTAGTATTTCATTTTTAGATAAAGTAATATAAATAGAGCTTGATTAAATATTAGTATACTTTAATTTGCAAAGATAATATAAACTTCAAAGAAATTTTTGCTAAAAACTAAACTTATAGCTTCATAAATAAATATTATAAAAAATTATTAAAATTTTTTTTTAAAACAATTTCTTTTTAAAAAAATATAATTTTAAAAATTTACATCGAAATAAATTTATCTAGTATATATAGCGTGCAAATTTTGTTAGGGTATATAAATATTCCATATTACGAATCTGTGATTTTTCTTAATATATTGTGGATGCATTTAACTATTATTGACATATTTCCTTATAAATAATAGAAGATTCTTAAACTTATATCTATTAATATATTTTACGTGATTAAGTTGGAAGGTGTGGGGGTAGTTTACCAAAACTAAATTGTTAAATGTATCTTTGTTATTATAGATATAATTTTTCATAATATATAATAATGATAAGATTATTAGAGAGTTAATGTAACATGAGTTCCTAATAATAGTCCATTTTTTATGAAATCACACATGAAGTCAAGTCATGACTTCTGTTTTAATATATAAGATATATACACCGTTAACTAATATCCAAACTAAACCGGTCGCGTACCAGAAAACCGGTTCGGTTGAGCAAATTTAACACAGTAAGTAACTTCAACTCCCAACGACTGGTGGAAAGACTCAACGCTGCGAATCATACGGTTTACATACACTACTAGTCAAGTGTTTCTTATACATTGCTGGATAATGATCATTACACGCCTTTTGCTTGGTCTGAAATCTGTAATCTCTATCTTTGCTTTTGTCTGAATAATACTCTTTTTTTCACCTCAGATACAACATTCAGCCGCAACACTTAGAGTGGATTAGATGGAAGAATCTCATATGCAAGGAGATAGAATCAAAACTTCAGGCAAGTTCCTAGGTTTATTCTATCTTTGGTTGCTGAATTACAACAAGCAATGTTTGTCTCTTGTTGAATGCTTTTCTTGGTTATGTTTCTATAATTGTATGAGCTGGTTTGATGTTAATCTGTCACAAGGTATATATTAGTCAAAAACTACATAATCTCGTATGTAGTTCTGGTGCTAATTTTTTTTCTTTTCGAATTTCTAATATATTTTAGAGTCGGACTGGAGAAACAATGTTGCTCAACTTTTGTGTGTTTAGAGGTATGCACCATTTAGAGTATTGTATATATCTAGAACTGAGCCAAGCCGGATATTGATTGTGGCAACTATTTCCAGTTTCTCCCTTATGTTATACATGTCTTTTCAAAATTCTATGCTTACAAAATTCTGATTAAATTCTGATTAAATTCGTATGTAGGCCAAGTATGTATTGCTATATGCTTACAAAATTCTGATTAAATTCGTTATCCATAGAATCTATCGACTTGGGTCTAAGAACGCTGACCGTATGGTCGGATTCACAGTCCCTCATCAGCATCATCTCATCAAAGAAGAAGTCTACTGAAGCTTAAGGAGTTTTGTTTGATATTGATCACCTCTCCTCTTTCTTTTCTAGTGTTTCCTTTCGTTATGTTCCTAGACTAAACAATGTTGAAGCGGATGCTTTGGCTAAGCTAGGCCTGTGTAATCTCATTAACTCTGTTTGAGTTTAATCTAAATTGATGGTTTGTTCAAAAAAAAAAAAAAAATTCGTTATCCATAGAATCTGTAGAACATTGCTCTCAGTCACATCCTAAGTTTAGAAATGTCAAGGTTTCAACTCGTAACAACTCTTTGAAGAGTTTTCATGGTATTCATCAGTACATGTAACCTTGGCAGCATAGGTGAAACTGCTAGACTTTAGCTATCTGTAACTCTTGTAAACAATGAACTCTTCTTCTTATTATCAATGGTAACCGATTACAGCTTGAGTGTGATACTAAGCTATGCTCTCATGGCGAATAAGCTCAGCACACCAGTTTCATGGCGACTGTGAAGCCTAGATAGCGTCTAAGAACAAACAACATCAAGCATAATCCTCGTAACTGAGTTAAGTCCCCTTCTTATACTCTTCTCTCATCCTTAACGGCAAACCTGTGGTTTCATCCAGTGTCTTTACTTCTTTCTTCTCTTGTCCAGCTTGGATGCCACCTCAGCATTGAAGACACTTATCAGAAACATCAGCACATCAATGCCTGGCAGTAGATTTAATGTCACATAATTTTAGGTAAGACTCCTTCTGGAGAGAGAGCTTACAAGCTGGAACAGGAAGGGAGAAATTTCCTGAGACTTATTCTCAATTTTCTGGACAGAGCGCAATCTATGATTTCATAGGCTCAGTCAATGTGAGTTTCAGTGAGGGTCATTTATATTCTTCATTTCATAGGTAGGAAAGATGGAGTGAACTCTATTTATTCCTTTTCCAATTGCAGGTTTCAGGTCAGTGTGAACTTTGATACAAAGGAAAGGTCCTTTAAAAACCATTATGAATTTAGGTAATTGGAAATTCGTCAAAATGTTTGGTTGCTCTGAGTGCCTTTTTTTGTTCATCTGATGAACTGATATATCACGACAGATCAACGCCGTGAACCATCGGCAACAACCATCATTCCAGATTCCCACTGAGGTATGTTCATGAGTCTTTTTTTTTCTAGGCTACACTGCATGTATTCTTTTCTTCTCTGAACCCTTTGATTCTCTGAGATACTTCTTTCATTTTCAATTTGAATGGTTCAGAACCATGTTTACAAGTAATTTGCTAGAATCTCTGACCATATTTGGTAAAAGTTTGTAAACAGGTTCGGTAGAGATTGTACCAAGTCTTACGCTTAGCACACAAAACATGAACATGTTCATTTGTACCAAGTCTTAGACTTAGCACACAATTATGCTTTAGGCAAAGCACACAAAACATGAACATGTTCATTTTAATTTTTGATTACTAATAGCACACACACGCTTTATTGGTAAGTAGTAAGTACTACCTAACTCAACACCTTTACCAAACTTTATGTTTTTTAAAGTTAATACCAAAATCATATGTTTCAGGAGGTGTACCTATGAGAATCGAGGACCCATTTTGCTACAATAAGTAACCGATGTAAGAGAACGTTACGTGAAAAGTTAGTCAATCACTTATTTCCCAAAAGCTCTTCTTTAAGTGTGACCTGATGCTTACATGTATTGAAAGACCACACGGTACTATCAAATAGAGTCGTAAGCATTTTCTCCATGTGTATGACCAACATTGGGTAACCACATCTATTTAAATCACTCTCTCTGTTCACTTTGGCCTTCATCAACATTCCCACAAAAAACAAAAAGATCACTATGACAGTCAACGAGATAAACAACGTTCCGACAAGAACACATGTCTTGATCTTCCCATTTCCGGCACAAGGCCACATGATTCCCCTCCTAGACTTCACCCACCGTCTCGCTCTCCGCCGCGGCTCCGCCTTGAAAATCACCGTCTTAGTCACCCCAAAGAACCTCCCTTTCCTCTCTCCTCTCCTCTCCGCCGGTCTCAACATCGAACCTCTCACCCTCCCTTTCCCCTCCCACCCTTCGATCCCCTCCGGCGTCGAAAACGTCCAAGATCTCCCTCCTTCCGGCTTCCCCACCATGATCCACGCGCTCGGTGGTCTCCACGCGCCGCTTCTCTCGTGGATCACTTCTCACCCTTCTCCTCCTATAGCCATCGTCTCTGACTTCTTCCTTGGATGGACACAACACCTCGGGATCCCTCGCGTCGAGTTCTCTCCCTCCGCTGCCGTCACTTGCTGCATCCTCAACACTCTTTGGATCGAGATGCCAACCATTGGAGACGACGACGAGATTCTCGAGTTTAAGAAGATACCGAACTCTTGGAAGTATCCTTGGTCTCAGATCTCATCCATCTACTTAAGTTATGTTCATGGAGATCCAGCTTGGGAGTTCGTTAGAGACTCGTTTAGAGACAACGCGGCGTGTTGGGGACTCGTCGTGAACACTTTCTCCGACATGGAGAGTGTTTATCTCGAGCACCTGAAGAAAGAGATGGGCCATGATCGTGTTTGGTCCGTAGGGCCATTATTCCTGTGTCCGAGGGGAGTCGTGGTGGCCCCACATCTGTTTCCGTCGATCACGTGATGTCGTGGTTGGATGCACGTGCGGATGACCACGTGGTTTACGTGTGTTTCGGAAGTCAAGCTGTGTTGAGTGAGGAGCAGACTCTTGCTCTCGCTTCCGCGCTTGAGAAAAGCGGCGTGCATTTCGTGTGGGCTGTGAAGGAGTCGGTGGAGAGTGACTCGACACGTGGCAACGTCTTGGAGGGTTTTGATGATCGTGTGGCTGGGAGGGGTCTTGTGATCAGAGGATGGGCTCCACAAGTGGCTGTGCTACAGCACAGAGCAGTTGGAGCGTTTCTGACGCATTGCGGTTGGAACTCAGTGGTGGAGGCGGTTGTGGCCGGCGTTCTGATGCTGACGTGGCCGATGCGAGCGGATCAGTACACAGACGCGACTCTGGTGGTGGACGAATTGAAAGTGGGCGTGCGTGCATGTGAAGGACCAGACACGGTGCCAGATCCAGACGAGTTGGCTAAAGTTGTTTCTGATTCCGTGACTGGGAAGCAGGCAGAGAGGATCAGAGCCATGAAGCTGAGGAAAGCAGCCTTGGATGCGATTCAAGAACGTGGAAGCTCGGTTAAGGATATAGATGGATTTATCGAACATCTCGTTAGCTTAGGACTAAAGAAATGATTCAACCTGATATGTATGTAACTGTGTTCTATTTGATTGTTGTATGATGATAAAATTTGTGCCCACCATATCTGAAATTTCTCTATGTAATTTCGATTTATTTTTTTTAAAAAACAGGGCAAGACATTTGTAACTGACGTGAGATAGAATTGAACTGAAACCGAAATATTATCGGATTCAAATTATAAAATAAAAAATTGAAAATTTGGACTAAGGAGATAGCTAGTTAATGGGTATATACGCAATTTTAGTGGAGTATTCTTTGCACTCTGAGTTGGAAGCATTGCAGTGAACAATGGAGAATATGCTTCAACATTCGCATTGTAAGGAGTTAATAGCAATGTTTAGAGATCCTCATGGCTGGCCAAGTTTTTCAACTGGGTTAGAAAAGATCACGACGCTGCAGATTTGTTTTCCAGATTTCAAGATCTTCTATATTCCTAGAATGCATAATAGTGTTGCTGACTCTTTAGCTAAATCTGCTCGATCCTTTTATCGAGAGTTGTTGTATATTGGTTGTTCTATTCCGATCTGGCTTTCCAGACCAACTCAAACTTGAGTAATAGATCAACCGTTCGTTGTCAAAAAAAAAATTGAAATTTAAATTCTATAATAAAGGTATTTAGAATTGGGTAATATCCTAAGTCCCAAACAAAAAAAATATTGAATTGGGTAATTTAAATTAGTATCTGAAATCAATGAACATATACAATCTAAATACACACTCTGAATATTTTAATTTGTGTTTAATGTTATAATTATCAAAATATTAATCCGAAGTAATTTTAAGCGAATTTCAAAAAAACAAATCGGATACAAAATGTTTTAAGCAAACTTATAAAATCCATCCAATCTTAAAATCCCCAATATATTATTTGCCAAGTGATTTTTTAAAATTTGCTTAGGTGTCATCTCTACAAAGCTTCTCACAAAATAATGATGACATGGCCTCCTTGCAAATATGACATGGCTCATGAAAAAATATGACATGGTTAATTAACATTTTAATATTAAAACTTAAAACCCTAACATTATTTATTCCTAGGATATATATATATATATATATGTTTATGAATGTCTATGAATCTTATACAAAACCTAGCACATGGTCTTCTACAAAACGCAGAACATCGTGTGAACATGCAGCCGTCCAAGTTAGTTGAAAAACAAGTATGTAATGATCTTTTTTTTTTTTTTATGTTCATTAACGTAGTACTTCGATCATGTTCTTTTCAAGATCACAAATTCCTTCAGGTTCACGTGAACGATGATGAAGAATATATAGAAGCTATTAAAAAAGCAAGTTTTTGGTCTTTAGCAAAGTGTCTTCGACAACTGTTTTATACGATGTTACTTTCAAATAGCAATATAACTCCAGAAAACATATGGAATGCTACTTGGAAAATTATATCAAAATATATAAACAATACCTCAGAAGATCCACGTAAGATTGTTTGTATCCGAAAGAAAATAATTCGAATTTCCAATCTCAATGCTTATATTTGATTGATTTTTCTCTCTCAGGTTTTAGTTACTCAGAAGATCAAATTAAGAGTTTAGCTCAGTTGGAGATTGAATCAATGATGCGTATTAATGGAAGCTCCTTCATACTTAAGATATAATTTACTTCTATTGTTAAACAGTTCGTTTTATTAGAATTATAATTCTCTTTTATTTTGTACTTTATTGATATTTATTAAATAACTACCTTATGAATGGTGATTTTTGTTTATAAAGATCATGTTAATGGTGATTTGTGTTTTATTAAGATCATGTTACTATGTTATCTCTATAATATTTTTTGAGAAGTCAGATTCTTACGTGTCGCACTCACGTTAACTCTCGCAATGGTTGATTACATAAATATCCTTATGAATTTTTACATTTAAAGATTATTATTTTTTATTTACTTTTTTTCCAAATAACATACATAATAAAAAGGAAACATTTAAATAGTTTAAAAAAAAATTTAAAAACGAAAAATATATGTATATAATATGATTTTTATTAAAAAGGAAAGCTTACAAAATAGTAATTTTCCCTTTAATATATATTTTAAATAACATAAAATATATTTTCAAAGTAATAAAGTACATATGTTCATGAACATCCAAAAATTTACCTGTTACACTTTATTTTCTAATATTTTTTAAGAAATCAACATATAATTTGATAAATATTATGAAAATGCATGTATATTTAAGTGATAAATAAAACTAACTTGATTTGATTTCACTACAGTAAATTTAATTATACTTCAGTTTTAATTTAAAAATATTTAACTTAATATACTTATAATATGAATGACTCGACTAATCTAGCTTATATCCAAAACTAAAGATCTAACTACAATAAGAATATATAATTTATAATAATACTTTTATACATATAAATTACAGGATGACTCAAAACATATTAAAAAGAAAAATAAATATTAACCAATTGTAATTTAGTTCTTTTGTAAAATTTATATATATGCATGAGACTTCAAAATATTATTGTTATATTCATTTTTGTAATTTTGAATCAAACACTTCAGCTTATAATACATTTTAAGTACAATATATATATTAAGTTGTACATAGTCTAACTATAATATATTTACATATCTAAGAAATAACCAACCTAAATGAAAATAAGAAAATTATTAAAAATTATTATATTTAGAATAAAAATATTATAGTTGAATTCGAAAAATAGATATTATACAATATACCGAACTGATAACCAAATCGGCTACTAATTCATAAAATAATCAAAGCTACTATAATATATCCAAAATCATATATCTAATTAGAATAATATAATATTTATTAATATAAATTATACATATAAATTGATTCAAAATTAAAACTAAATATTAATCAATTATTATAAAATTTTATTTTTATAAAATATTCATATCCGTGTACGAGCACGGGAGAATCACCTAGTAACTACATTAAATTCAGAATTCAAGATCGTATGACCTGTTGAATTAATATTTCTATAACACATCATGCTAAAATACAACACATAAATTTAGAAAAATCGTAAGCTTCCTTTTTTCACGTAAATTTAGCTTCATTCCAAAAAATATGATTCACACATAAATTTTACATATTTTGTTAAATGTAAATTTCACATAAAGCATTGGATATGAATCAAAAAAATTTTAAAATATACATAATATGTTATAGAAGTAACGTAAATTTAGCTTATTGTATATATGTATATATCACATTAATAGATAAAAACAAGAATATACAATATGTATATATATCTCATTAATAGATATACACAAAAGAAAAAAACAACTTTCCAAAAGATTTGATTTTCACGAAAATTTGACATTTTTTTATAACGTAAATTTTACATATTATTTTTATATAGATATGATGCATTGGATATGAATCAAGGTTTGTTAAATATACTAAATATTTTATACAGATAACGTAAATTTATCTTATTGTATATATGTATATATCACATTAATAGCTAAACACAAAAGGAAAATATTATAGAAATTTGACATTTTTGATAATGTCAATTTTACATATTATTTTTATATAGATATGATGCATTGAATATGAATCAAGATTTTGTTAAATATACTAAATATGCTATACAAATAACGTAAATTTATCTTATTGTATATATGTATATATCACATTAATAGATAAACACAAAAGGAAAATATAACTATAGAGAATATGTGCTTCTTATTCGTTTTTGACCTATTTTGTTATATATATATATATGATCCACAGTTTTGTAATTGACTACAGACAAAAAAGTTACTCAAGTTTTCTAAAGCTTATTGCAATGTCGACTATATAAAAAAAATAATACATTCGTTCTTCTGAAAAACATTGATCTTGCTAATGAAAAACAAAAAAAATCAAAGTCAAAAAGATAGATGATTGCTTAATTGGGAAAATTGTGAATATTGGGAAAATCAAACAATATTTTGCAGATGTTATTGGGAAAATTGTGACCAATGGAGCAGATTAAAACACAAGGGAAGTTAGATGATTAGTGTTGTGAAGAAGATAGATGATTGCTTAAATAAGAAAGAGTCGAAGAGTATATGAAAAGATAAAAGGATTGATACAAAGCAATTTCATCCCTTTATTGGAAGTTGCATCGAGTCTATGATGGCCTAACCCACTTACTTGAAAAAGCAAAAAACAGAGGAGGACTGAAGAGAGAAGAAGACAAATAACAAAAGAGGTTTGCCTCTATCACTCTCTGTAATCTTTGAAAGAAAGATATCAAAGGTTGTTTTTGAATGGAGGAATATTTTGGAAGTAGACAAGATAACACTGTTGTTCAATGTGTTGTCACATAGTTTTTCTTTCAAGAATAATGGTTTTGAAAAATGGTTCTTTCAAGATAGAGAAAAAGCTGATGTAAAAGGTGATAACACACTGATCAAAAACAAACACTGCTAGCATCTCCCTAGATAAAGACAGCATATCAAACTTCAATTGCTTGACACAACACTGGAAAAAAGTGACCCTTTCTATCTATTCTCTACATTACATTCATTACATGCAAAGAAATTTTATGTAGTATTATCAAGACTTTAAACTTTAATTAAACCTTACCGAAGAACATGAGAAACATATCTCAGAAATAACTATCCATAGATAACTAATGAATAGTTTAATATTTACTTTGTACGATTGATTTGGTGCTCATTAGATGATGTGACTGAAGCTGGATTGTGTCTAAGCTGGAATATTGACTCATCAAGTAGATATGTTCCAAATTCACAAGTTTCTTATAAAAGAAAACAAATCAGAGACTGAAAAAACAAAAGTCACAACTGAATTATGAATTCAGAACGTACTGGTTCGTACACTAAACTCTCTGTCATAGCGAAAAACACAAACAAATTGTTATGAACTATTAATCTACTCGAACGACCTATATACTTCAACAAAACTTTGTTAAACTATGCATGAACAAAAATAATATCTCACTATGCGTATACTCTTCTTCGTTACCATAATCATCCTCTGAAGTATATGTTAATACGTTAATCCCGCGCGTCGGATCACCTAGTATGTTATTAATCAAATTCGACCGAACATAACTATTAATTCATACCCGGTTCTTGTTGGATAGTATCGGGTCAAGTAAAACAAGACCCGTAAAGAGTGACGTCATTCGTTTCCTTATCTTCTCCAATTCTCTCTCACACATCCACACAACAAAAAAGAAATGACTCTCACCGTGAGCAGCGGTGGCAGAGGCGCTAGACTCCACACCATAGACCACATCAATACTTCTCGTTCTCGTACTCCCTTCTCCACATTCAAACTCATAAACTTCCCTTACCCATCAAAACCCCGTCTCCACGTAGTCTCCGCCTCCAAAAAAAACTCCTCCCAAACCGGTCGGTTCGACAGCAAGAAGCGTCGAACCCTCGTCCCGACAACAACAACCAAGGAACAGCCTGAAGAAAACAACGGTGTGGTGTACGACGACGAGGAGAAACCACTGCTGTCTCAGACCGATGACGAAGACGAAGATAGGTTTGCTGTGAACACTCGCTTCAGAGGTGATCCAAAAGACGCGCCAAAGGTTTCGGTTAAGGATCTTCCCGGGCTTGAGCCTGATCCTTTTGAAGGTCCTCAGTGGGATGGTTTAGGGTTCTTTGTTCAGTACTTGTGGGCTTTCGGAATTGTTTTCGCGGTAAATTTCAACCGCTGTAAATTTTCCTGATTGAAATTTTGTTCAGTGCGGTTTATAAAGGTTAAATTTTTTGATTACAGCTTGTTTCCGGCGGAATTGCGGCGGGGACTTATAATGAAGGTGCGACGGATTTCAAGGAGACGCCGGTGTATAAGGAGGCGATGGAGTCTCGTGACCTTCTGGATGAAGCAGAGGGTTCGAACTCGGAAGATGTGTTTGAGTCTAATCCGACAGAAGTGGCGCCTAGTTTGGAATAGTTTCAGTTCAGTGTTTTGTAAAAGCCATCATATTCGAAGTTGATCATAAGCTTGTCTTCATAATTTTACAGAATCAAAGTGATTATTACACAAGAGTGTTGTTTTCTGTTTACTTGATTTCATTTCAAGAACTGCAAACGGTTAAGAAACATACTTAAGATGATCTTGATTCATAGAGAAACCCTTAAGCAGGTAGATTTAGCTAAGCCAGATGCTAGTTATAATGCAGAGAGTTTTTCAGATGGGGAGAGATTTGCGTAGGATCGCTGCGATGCTAGGATGATTAGATGAATCTCAGATTTGGACCTGGAGGATCTCAGACCATAACTTATCCCCATAAAGCTGGTGGGTATTGGTGCAACTGGGGTTGCTGATGAAGTAAAACGAGATCAGTGGCAATTTTTGTTGGGATGTTAACTCTTTTTATGTTTTAGTTTAGATGCAGATGCTGAAACTTACCAGAGTTGTTATTTGCACCTAGAGAGGCTTGAGAACCAGTTGGAATCAATTGGTTTGTTCATTGTTGTGTGTGTGACTGTGGACAGGTAGTGTCAGAGGCGTATCTAGGACTGGTTGCAACACTTGATTCTTCATATTTGTGTCTTATTCAGTGTTTTTCGACTTCATTCACAAATTATGCTTCTTTGTTTCGAGTTGATTTGGTTATACAATGAGAACATTTAAATAGAATGTTTACCAACCAAGTCGTTGTAGTATAGTGGTAAGTATTCCCGCCTGTCACGCGGGTGACCCGGGTTCGATCCCCGGCAACGGCGTTGTCCTTTTTTTTTAATCCTTTTTATTTTCAGTTTATTTGTTAGTCTTCAGGGTTTTAGTTTTTTTTTTGTCTAATTCAGGGTTTTAGTTGTTAGTCATTCTCTTCTTATGTTCAAAACCAGAGAACCCGAGATAGAGTAAATTCTGACAAATTGCACTCACTTTAAACCTTCCGGCGAACCTCCGGTAAAAAAACCTCTCCGCCAATCGCATTCTACGTAGCTACCATGAGTACTTCTTTTCCCTCTCGCTTGGCTTCGTCTCATCAAGATCTGATATTTTTCTTCTTTCTGTTGGTGGGCTCTGTGATCTTTCGTACAGATAAATTATTACGCCGGAGAAGATGTCCCAAAGCCGCCCTCATTAAGTCTTTATTCTCATTATGTACTTCTCCCTCTTTTGCAAATGGTTTTGCTTGCTTTCCAAGTTAGGTCATTTAGTGTTAAAGCATTTCGGAAAGTTTAGGAATTTATTCATTTTGATGATGTGTGATAAGGTTTTTGGGTCAATAGATGGAATGGATCTTGATGATGCTCCAAATGCCAAAAAAAAAGAAAAAACAATGTTGTGGAGTTTGGTAAAGAAAAGGGCAAAAGGAAGCTTTTCGTAGAATCTCAAGCCTTGAAATTTGGCGGAGATCAAAGGGAGGTCAGCTTTTCTCATGAACTAATAATGTTTTAAACTTCAAACTGCTTAGTAAATGTTTCATTGTCGCTAGATATTGTCATTGTCACCGATAAATGATGGCATTGTAGCTTTTTTGTGATAGACAGCGGTACTCCTCTACCTTGCTCCATCGCATTTTTTGTTTTGTTTATTATGGATTCTAATAATTACAGTGCCTGTCCATGTTAAAAGGTTTGCTAGTTGTATAGGCTCCTGAGTCCCATGGTGTATTAGTGTTCAGAGTTTGTGTAATTTTGTCTATATGTATATATGCAAGTTGACAAAAAAAAATATATATTACATTTTCGGAAAAGAAAACACACATCTTATGTGCAACATCTGAATTTGCTTGGTATTATATAGTTTTTCCAAATTATGCATATGGTTAGGTTTTAAATGTACTATTTGTTTCCATCATTTAAAAAAATGGTAGCAAATAACAAATTCACTACAATTAAGTACAATAGTTGGGACGACCAGTTTAATGTGGTCGCTTATCAATTTGTCGGCAAATAATTTTAGATCACATGCGTTAAGAAAAAAGTAATCTCTAAAAAGACTAATGAATGGCAAGAGGTATTTTGCTTATTTTCTTAATGAGAAGAACCAAAATTTAAAGATGAAAATATCTTAATGAAGCAATAATTGGTGTATATGGCATATTTACTCATTGCTCTAATTGGGTGGTGTGTTCGGTAAATCGACCTTCCCCGTCTCCCAAACGTTGAATAAAAACGTGTCGTAGACATTCGATCTTATCCAATAGTAATTTCCCACGTACTCTTTGATCCATCTGGAGGGCAAGAATCGCCGACGTGCCCCTAAAATATCGGATTCTCCCAAATTTATTGTTCATTTGGATTTATTTGTGTTTTCTTTATTTTTTTTTTAACGATTCCGGAATAAATCTCCATCGCAATTTGGTCATCTGGATTTCAAAATCCATTCATCTTTTTTTTTTTCTTTTTCAGGTGCAATTTGGTCATCTGGATTTCAAAATCCATTCATCTTTTTTTTTTTCCTTTTTCAGGTGGTGATTTCAAAATTCTCGTTATCGTTTCATGCAAAATTTGGCGCAGAACAGGGAGAAATCGCCCAATCATATATTTTTTTCTCAGAAGTTTCTTAATTTTGAAATTCTATAAATTCTGGGAGAAGAAGTTATGCAACGAATCGTAGATAACGCTCTCGCTGTCACCAAAGAGTGAGTCTTTTTCTTTTATCAATGAATTTGCATTCATCCTTCTCTCTTATTTGTGACCATTTCTTGTTTCCTTTGCTTGGATTGGGGTTGGACTCTCTAACCAGTTTTTGCTATAATTTCAATCTCAATTTGTTGATGGATGATTGATTACTTTTTTTTTTTATTGATATAAGATGGTGACATGGTATGCTGCATGATAATATCTTGTTTTTACCTTCCCACTTTGTTATTATTGTTGTCTAACAAGTGTAAACTAACTATGGTTTTTGTGTGTATGTTTTGTCTTTTAGTGCAGGTCTGTGAAAACTGTAACATATGAGTCTTTGAACAACATTGCTAGATGCATCAATGGAGTTTCAGCTCTTCTCTTGACTCTTCTCCCTGGGAACGCTAATATTCTCGAAGGTCTCCATGGCTGGGAGCTTAGACCTACTTTCCGTGGTCCACGTTTACCACGCTGGATGCATAAGTACACACAATCATTTCTCAACTCTTGTCTTGTCATGATTTGCTGATATCACTTTTTTGGGTCAATTTTCTATGGCAGTGGGGTTTCTTCTTTCAATCACTTCGTTCATGAGCTTTCTGTGGATTCTGACACTTCGAGCTTGGAGTATTCTTCTGGTGAAGATAGTGATGGTGTGTTGCCTGCATCACCTTCTTCTCAAAGCTCACGTCTTTCTTGGGCTAGTGGTTCTGCAAATTCTGAAAGGCATTGGACTGAGTGGATTACCTTCGTTCTTTGGTGGTTGATATTTCCTCTACGGATTTTGATATGGATACCTCAGTACTTTCTGCGTTTATTCTATAAGCGAAGTAGTACAAGAGCTCCTTCGAGCCCAAGAAGGAACCAACGTTCACCTAGGCCTCGTGTTAGCAAGACTATGTCAAGCAAAGATCACGATGTTCCTAACCGTGCTACTGATAGAAGACGTGGAGTCATTGAGGTTTGTGGATGCAATAATGAATAATTTAATATTCCCTCTAGAAAGCATCTCGCTGCTGTTTAGTTATGTTTTGTGTGTTGTGTAGAAACTTTTTACACATTCTTTCTACTTGGTGTGCTTTGTTTTGTAGGATCTTCATCTTGGTATTGAGATCTGCATAGAAGCAATTTTTGATTTTTTCCACAGGGCTACACATATGATCCTTTCTCCATCGGAAGCTTTTGCAATAATCTCATCATGGTTCTCTTCTCGCGGTCACAGTCGTAAAGAAAGCCATGTTGACGTTTCAGATGATGAGCCTGTGCCGACTGCCATTTTAGGAGATACTGATCCATCTCTTAACGAAAGGCCCACACGCTTATACAACTCTATGAACACAGATACTCGAACGTGTCAAGATGTCATAACAGAGCTGGGGTAGGGATATAGCTTAGATGTCTTGTGCTTTTTTTTTCTTGCATCTCTCGTTCTCAAGTTTTTGATTTACCTAATTTCTCTGCTACTTTTAATAGGTATCCTTACGAAGCTATTCGTGTTGTTACATCTGATGGATATGTTCTTTTCTTGGAAAGGATACCAAGGTATAACTTTCTTGTGGTACATTACGCTCATTTGTTAATCCTTTCTATACCTTAAGTATGTGACCCCTGACTGTTTTTCTTGTCGTTACAGACGTGATGCAAGGAAAGCTGTCTATCTGCAGCATGGGATTTTGGATTCTTCAATGGGGTGAGTTTCATGGTCGATTTATTAGATGACTTGTAAAAGTTGCAAACTTCTTAAGCTGAAAGGTTGAGGAAGGATTTTCTATATCCACGTTGCATAATATTCTTTGCATAATTTGTTCTCCTCCTTCTCTCCGTTTTTATTATCTGTGCATTTGTCTTCAGATGGGTGTCTAATGGAGTTGTTGGATCTCCAGCTTTTGCTGCGTATGACCAAGGTTCAAACTTCGTCTTCTTCATAATCCTGTCTTTTATTGATTCACATACCAACTGCTGCGACTCTTAAACTCTTTTACGTCACAGGCTATGATGTTTTCTTGGGGAACTTTCGTGGCTTAGTTTCAAGAGATCATGTGAACAAGAACATATCCTCAAAAGAGTGAGTTCTTGATTTCAAGTTCCCTTCATATTTTGTCTACTTGCTCTGGCGGTTGCCTGAGATAATGCTTGCAAGCTAGTGTTAATTGGTGTTGATCAAAATTCAGATATTGGAGATACTCCATCAACGAGCACGGTACTGAAGATATCCCGGCAATGATTGAAAAAATCCATGAAATCAAAACTTCAGAACTGAAGCTCAGCCAGCCTAATGTCGATGAGGAAATCAACCAGGAGGAGCCTTATAAGCTCTGTGCCGTCTGTCACAGTCTAGGTGGTGCTGCAATCCTGATGTACATCATCACTCGCAAAATCAAGGAGAAGCCACACAGACTCTCACGGCTGATCCTACTTTCTCCTGCTGGCTTTCACGAGGACTCCAACTTAGGTTTCACAATTGTTGAGTACATATTCCTCTTTGTTAGTCCTGTATTGGCTCTCATCGTGC